ATAACTTTCTTTTTTCCAACCTGAATCGCAAATAAAAGTGTTCATTAAAAATGCTGACTCATTGAGTGGCATTTTTGCTATAATCACGATCTGTATAATTGGAATTTTCATAGCCTCTGTTTTCTACTTTTTTGTGGCTAGTTTTTGTGAAATATTAGGTGTCCGTGGCTGAGTGGATAATGCGTGCACTCATAATCTCTTGATATACTTTTTATTGCACTTCTTATGTCCTTTTATAAAACGTTACGTTGCTTGGTATCTAACGAGCCTACATTTACAGGACGCAGTTACAAACGGAATCAAACAATCGCAACTTGGATATAGTCCCTCGCAAGAACCAATGATACAATGGAAAGACTGGCCGCAAAAGTTTTCACTAGTGCTCATCGAAAAGAAGAATTAGACGTCGGAGATTTGTTGGAAGAGAAATCGTTGTCAGAGAAGATATATGTAACGTTGGAAGAACTGGTCGAAAACAAGGATCGACAGCTAGGAATGAGAAAGGAGGATGAAGTAACGCAGCAATCGGAACGTAGAAAGGAAGATAACTATTGGAAAAAACGGATTAGGTCACGAGCCAGCGTTTTTAAAAATGAAAAAAAAAAACATAAGGAGATTTTGTCTAGAATCACTCTGCCGATGTAAGCAAACAAACGAGAGTGATATGCGACAGGTCGAAACAAAGCTTAGGGGGGGGCTTGAACATGTCTTCACTTACAGATGAACACTGATATCATGCGCGTCGAGAATCTTGATCAAGGCGGAATTGAAGTACAGTATCAACAAGCTAGAATTTTTGGGCCGTAGCGGGCAGTAACGCATCACTACAGTTATCTGTTGGGGGCGCCGTTCAAAGCCATAACGGATCAAAGAGCCTCATTGTCGTGTTAGTCGAAAAAAAAACACAAAACTACACCAACACGCTTAGTACGGTGGTTAGACCTATTAATACATGTTGACTATGAGATAGAGCGTATACCAAGGAAACTTATGGGTTTAAAATACTAATTGTCTAATTACCCTTTGTAATGGCTCCAAAAGTGTCAAAACTTGACATCATATTCGCGTTGAAAAAGTTGGTGATACCGTTGAAAATTAGCAAAACACTGAAACGAAAGACTGGTCAGAAGACATCATATGCGGCACAGAATCGGAAAGGGAATTGCGTCATCGGAAAGAGTTTGCATCGAAAAAACTTATCAACGCGTTCAGGAAGTGCCATTTGATCAAAGCTTAAACTGCAAATCATACGCGTACAGAAGACTGTAGAAACTGTAAAAAACCTAATCCATAAAATGCTGTTCTGAAAGCAGCTATGAACAAACTTATGTTTATTATACGAAAAACAATTCATCAAAAGATGGGTTGTTCCCCTTTCGAGACAAATTTTGGGAGCAAACTGAATAGCGTGACATACAGACACACAGGCCATATCTTTTAGCTTATCTTGGAAAAACGTTTCATGTTCACTAGATAACAACAGAAAGATAAATCCTGCACGGTTAATGCAAGATTACACGCTTTCAGACGACTTGACAACAGAGAGGGTTTTTGACCGGATAGACCATCCCCTGGCAGCTGAATCGAAGAGCCAGAAGTCGCCAAGAATTCTGGTGAAGGAAAAAAAAAGTGAACGAACAAAGCGCCTGTTATAAGCGCGCAAAAATATGACAACATTTTTTGGAAACATCAAGATCGGTTAAAATCGGAACCATATCTTGAATTAATGAAGGAAAAGTGTTCTGCGTTAAGCAGATCATTTAGTTTGATTGAACTCGGGAAAAGTGAGTCTTAAATTTTATGTTTGCCTAATTTTAGGGTTGAAATCGACCAATGTAGATGAATTTGACTGTTAAATCGAAGAAAAATCAGGGGCAGTCAAAGACAGAACTAGATCCGAGAAAGGAATCAGCTTTAAGGGCCACGATGGAAATGCCAAAGGATGTTGCGAGATTGTTATTCGTGGGATGGACTGATTTCGAGGAAAATCCCGATTGTACTACCTACCACCAGTTCAGGTAGAGTCAGGGAGACCATCAGCGGCACAGGGGCAATCGGCGGAGTTGGTGCACAAAAGCATATTTAATCTAAAAACCGGTGGTAAATTCCCATATTCTCAGGTTCTAAAGAGAATAGCGTGGTGAAGATGGACATTGGAGACTGGGGCCATCAGACGTTCCAGTGGTTTTGTCATCAGCAAATGAGGCGGAGGAATCTGACGAAACACTGGATCAGAATGGCTGGACAGATATTGACATCTAAGAGGGGAGTTCATCACGAAAGAACGAAGGTGAGTTGACAACTACATAGAGTTGACAATAGAATCGTAAAGAAGTCCGCCGCGGGTTATATCAGAGTGATTGCAAGACACAAGCAGCCCGTTAGTAAAAACCCCGGAGCAGGTATTGCGGTACACGCGAGACATTTCAGGAAACGCATCCTGCATAAGTTCTTAGAAGAAAGATTTTACTAGCATAATGTCGCCAGAGGCCCAACCAGTGAATATAGAGACAGTTAAAGGGAGTTCAGATGACGAGAGAAACTAGATGCCAATGACAACACCAGGACTATCAGATATGAAAACAGCCACTCGGCCATAGGAAGAAGCGCATAAAAAACCGAGAGAAGTACGGAGAACAAACGACAGTCCAAAGAAAATCCTTAGCCCAAAGTTACTAAATGCTGAGATTGCTGCGATAGAGAAAAGTCCCGATTTTATTGAGGAGATGATTATATTAGACAGGATTAGACAGGATATCAAGGATTAGACAGAGAAGTGGAGTGCTACCTTGTGGACGTGCTTGTCAAATTGAGGAAGATCGTGAAACACCCAAAGGGAGTGTTCTCTCTTACCGACTATGGAGGGACAGAAGTGAACGCGTTCAGAGTACAAGCGCTAGATTGGGGAAGAACCGAAGGCTACGATGGTTAACAGCACGGCTGATCTAGCTAACATCAGAGGAAAATCAAGTGAAGCGTTAGCTACGGATGATCTAGACTTAGCGGACGAGCTATCGGCCATTCCATAAGTATGACCGAGGAAGGCCATCGGCAAATACTGGAACAACTTGAGAATTTGTCACAGAAAAGTTGAGGGAACTGGTTTTTTTAAAGACGGGGGGGGGGGGGGCGTAAATTGGAGATAGTCCTTCGGGTTATTAGGGACTTAAACTGGAACTTTGTAATCTAGATTATATCGATGCTTTTAACTCGTAATTAGTACCAAGGTCAACATTATTGTTAGCTGATGCATGTCCTATCGCCAGTGGCGACGGTTTTCCCGGGTTGACCAAAACTTCTTATCATACAATTTCCATGAGAAACTTCTTGTCATACAATTTCATGCAATTCCATACGTACAGAAAATTGTATGAAAACTCTACGATAAGCATTTTTCTATATATGAAAATTTTATGATAGGTGTTTTTCCATAAATCAAAAAGTTTGCTTTTTTCTTTCTAATTTTTTTTTCTGAAAATTTTCGGTTGTGTTTGCAACCGAACACAAGGACAAAGACCTTGGTTACTTAAAGCACCAAAGGTTGGACGGTCTTGCACTTAAAATGCATAGAAAACGACCTGAATCGACTTCGAGCTGTCTTTCACAATTGATATAACAAAAGTAACAAACTTTTAATTTTTAGCAAAACATTTCAATGATGATTGATTTTAAATTTTTGAATTTTCAAATTATCAGACATTTCGAAAAATGTTTGTTTGCGTTCGAAATTCGATTTGCAGTTGAAAAAGAAAGCAAAAAAATTTTTGGGGCAAATTTTCAAAATTACTAGAAAAAATTTGTGTGTTGTATATGGAAATTGTATGGTAAGCATTTAAGAAAAAAATTAAATCAGTTTGTTTGTCACCAGTCTAGTCTGTTCAACTATTCTCAAAAAGCCGCAGAAATGGTTTATTTTTTTTCTATTGTTTTTCGAAAAAGTATGAAAACTGTATGACAAGCATTTTCTCCATACACTTGATGTATGGAATTGTGTGATAATGATTTTTGTTGTATGGAATTGTATGATAAGCATTTTTGGTGTATGGAGGTCAACCCGGGTTGTATATGCCGACATACTATCTTGCGAGCATACTTCTACATGCTGGTTGTGTGCCAATGTAATGCCGGTTGCCGATATATCTGCATCGACTCCGATTGTGATCAGTTCATCTTGCTCTGTGTTCGCAGGTCCTGTAATGCTTAAGAGGACATTAGAAGTTATCATCTAAAATGAGACTGTTATCGAGGGTTATAGTATGTTCTCTTTTTTCCCCATAAAACCTAGCTTCTCAACTGAACAGTTAAGTTAGAGGGATAATTAGGGAAATTGTATAATCGGCATTTTTTCCATACGCTCCTGGTATGGAATTATTTGAGGATGGGAAATTTTCATGTATGGAATTGTGTGATAGCTATTTTTTGTATATGGAGGTCAACCAGGGATGTTTGAGATTTTTTCGTAAATTGAATCAAACATTGAAAACTAATTTGGTGAAAATCACTTCGCGTTGAGCCAATCAAAACAATAATCAGAAAAAATGATGACGGGGTGGATTAAAAACAAACGGGATGTTGGCGAGAACAGTTCCGCAGAGATTTGATCAATTAATGAACAATTAAATGGGTTGAGAATGTGGATAGGCATGCTCGATTGAATTCGGATATGGTTGGAGCGTCTCGAAGCATAATTATGAGAGCAAGCACCTCGACCTTTGGGAAAACAAAATGTAACAGCCCAGAAAACTAGCGAATGAATGAGTGGAGGAGGGGCATACCGATAGCACTGGAAAAGAGAAAACAGAGCGCGTATTTTGGGTTTTGTCTTAAGTTCAAGTTTTACTTGGTAACACTTCCTAAATGCAATCTTGTTTATTCCTCCTGCTGCAGCGGCTATTGGAGAGGACCAAATTGACCTGTAGAAAAAGCAATCAAATCTAAATTGTTTTCAAATGGTATGTTTCATTAGTTCAGAAGCATAGCTCTTCAAAATAGACGCCAAAAAGAGCAATCTGCTCGTTTATTTGTATTAGTTTATGTTTTACTGTTTACTGGATTTGCTGTGGCTTAATTCAGTCGGTTTTTATTATTTCTTTTTGTTTCACGTCGAATAACGTGTTTATTCTTCCTTTCACCTGTCGCGTCTTAAACAAATCTGACCATGTTTTAACATTGTTTGTTGCATTTTTGAAAACAGTTAACGACAAAAAAGACCATAAATTTTTTAACGATTGATCAATTGGGCACACCTTAGAAAATAAACACATAAGCAGTCTACAAAAAACGTTTATCGAGTTCAAAAGCCAACATTCCAGCCAGAGACCTTCTTCGTTTAAGCAAGATTTTCTACTTTCAAATGGAAAAACAGACAATTGATTTTCGTTGTCTGCTTTAGAGGAATTATAACGTGCTCATTTATTTGATTCAAAGCGAAAACAGCATCAAAACATATTGAGCAATTGATCTTTAATTTTCAACTGAATGTTTTGAGGCCAATTTTATTCATACCGTCTTAGATAAAACTTTTGGGCTAAGACTAGAAAACATTCATTAAACTTTTTATCATATATTTCTTGTGGAAAATGTTAGCCTCGTTTATCGAACTCCGTTATCGTCCGACTAGCTTTTGAAAGCCAGCCAAAAAAATCACCCTTTTTTAAAATCCGAAATCGGATGACGTCACTTCCCCGTGTTTCTCGGTCGACCAATCAGATTGCAGAAGTTGATTTAATGCCTGAACGCGAGCAAGGCGACACCGAAGATGCGGATCAAACTTTGGACGACATTTTCGGCTCGGCTTTCGGCCAAGACTGGCAGCTGCAGAGACCAACGAGCAGCTTAGAACAAGGAATGTCGGCAGAGCAGAGGAGGAGCTATGTGCACTACTTACTCGGAAGAGGGGAGAAAGGGGCTGTCTATCGCCAACTGTGGTTTCCAGGCACCTCTCTTTCCTTCAGTCTGGACCCCTGCTCCACAGACCCCCCACAGACGCCGAGAAGCGCCTCCGTAATCGGACAGTACTCCTCGGAGCAGGAAGCACGACCAATGTCCCGTAACCATTACTATGTGGGCAGTTTGGGAGGAGGAAACCATCGCGAACCACCAGCCACGCCCCACGTTTTCATCAAGAGGTCAATTTCAGCAGTTAAAAACGCCCTGGCTCACAACAACCACCAGCAACTAATGCACTATCGCCACGAAAACACGGACAACAGCAACGCCGATGTCAAAACTGTAAGTTCATTCGAACCTTTGCCTTGTGCACCGCTTCCAACCACAAGCAGCACCGCTTCCAGCCACTAAGTAAAAAAGCAAGCCGCCTCAAAAGAATGCATCTAGTTGAAAAAAAACAGGCTGTTACAGTTCCGCTTAAAATTATGGATGACAATCCATGTTTGATTCTGAAATTTTCTGAGAAACGATCATTCTGGCCGTTGAAAATTTTAGGGACTATAACAAATTTAACAAATTTATCGGAAAACGTCTTAAACTTTTGAGATAATTCTGATCTTCAAGCTGAAATTTATTAGAAATAATTCTTTGAAGTTTCGCGTTTGTCTTCTTGTCGGCGTTTTTTTGTTCTTTTTTAGTAAAAAACTGCATGTCAGATCGCTGCTAAACAAAAGTTAATTTAAATCAAAGGGTTTGAAGTTTATTTCAGAAAATTTGATTTCTCAAAAAGCGCAATCTCTTTTGGCAGTTCAAATGCAAATTTGAAAATTTGGTCGTATTTTCAACTTCATTTCACTGCCTCAAGGTCAAAATTATTTCAAAAATTTACAAACAATAAACGTTAATTGATTCTAAAATAAGAAAAACTCTAATAATCGCCATTTGAATAACAGACAATCGGTTGATGTGCGCAAAGCTCGAGTTGAAGTTAGCAGGGAACTGGTTTTTTTCCCATTTTGTAGTATAAATATAATAACCTAATGAATAAGTTTCCAAGTTAGGTTTTATACAAACACACTTGGGAGGTCGTCAAAAGGCAATTGCCTGTCAATGTGACGCCTCTGAGCAAAGTTTAACCGCTTTTAAACAGTGTGATTTTAAAAAACAAACTGTCCAAAATAACGAAAGAGTTCCATGTTCACAGAGTATAGGTTAATGTATCGCTTCGTGAGCATAGAATGGACAAACAAAAAAGATATTTTAGAAACAAATATCGGTTTGTTAGGCGTCATGACATTCTATTCATTTTTTGTTGGTTTAGTTACCCATTTCCATTTAAAAACAATATATTTACTGAATTTATCTACAATTATTCATGCAGTATTTTTTATACAATATTTTAGGTTTAACAGTTGGTATTTTGACCAATTTAAAATAACCATTTTGCACTATTTTCCAGTTAATTTACTTCCGAAGTGACGGAAAATTTGCGCTCGTTTTTTGAATTTATTTTCAATTATTCACGCCCAGAGCTCAAACTTAAAAATTTAACTTGTGGTCTTTTTCGCAACATTTTAGGGTTAACAATTGCTAATTTGACCAATTTAAAATAACAATTTCGCTTTATTTGCCAGTTTTTTTTACTTCCAAAGAAGTGACGGAAAATTTATGCTCGTTTTTTTTGTTTCTCTGGGCTTAAATTTACTTTTTAACGTTTTTAAAATTGACTTTGTAGTAATTTTTTAAAGCTTTGACGGTATTTTTCTACAGAGTTTTTCAACGATTTTGGCTCAAATTATCAACGACTTAGGCCGTAAGCTCAAAATTAAAAAAACTATTATGGCAGTTTGATCATATTAATATTTTAATAAACGAAAAACATATAAGTATTTGCATCAACAATGATCATTTTTTTCTAACCGTAACAAATTACACTGATTTCTTGGTTCAATAAAATAGAGAAAAACAAAAACAAAAAGTAAATGCTTTACCAAAAAAATAACAGTCTCTCTATTCTACCAAGCTTTGATCGGGTGTTATTAAGCACTGATCATTTTTAACAGCGTGTATTACATGACTGCCAATTAAACATGATTGTCATAGGAAAAAGACCGAGCACAAATTTCCCGTCGTTTCTTTGGAAGTCGGTAAAAATTGGCAAACAGCGAGAATTATTTCTTTTAAATTGGTCAGTGATTATACAGCGCATTCTGGAATAAAACTTTCGCGCTGTTTGCCAGTTTTTGTCCAATTTCTGCAGAAGTGGCAGAAAAATTGTGCTTGGATTTTTTTTCTCCGTCTAAAATTGACGGATTAACTAGCTTCGATTGAAGTTTTCAACAATTTTGATGTTTTTTTAGTTTGACTGAGAAAAACTTGGCCTTAAGCCCAAAGTATAATTTGTTGATCTGCGATTCTGATCATTTTCTGATCAGAATCAGAAGCAATTCTGATCATTTTTTTGACCGTAACAAATTGGTAAATCTGGAAAACCAAAAATGGAAGTAAAATGCATTCCCCGAAACAAAAATCAAACACAACAGACTCTCTAATCTACCAAGCTTTGATCGGATGTTGTTCAGCATTGGTCATTTTCAACAGCTATAAGTTCGTAGCTATAAACATGATTTCCAGAAGGATCACCGTATTTGTTTCCTCAGGCTTAGGATGATGAAAGAATGTCGCTTTGGTAGATGAAAAAAGCATGGTCATGTAGATATGCGAATCAATTTTTAATAGTTTCGATTGAACTCGATTATCCGGTAAACATTGCAGTAAATAATTAATTTATATTTACATAGAAATGCTGACATTTGGCTCCTAATCAGCATTTAAAAGTTTTTTGCTGAATATTGATTGAGGTTAGAAATTAGCCCCCGCGTTTTTTTTATTATTTTAGAGATCATCCGTTGATTTATTGAACTTATTGTCAAGTCTCATGTTTGGTTTGGAATTCTTGAAGATGAAGGTGAAGTCTAAATCGATAGCCAAGTGACTTTGAAAATAAGTATTTTTTAAAAATAATCATCCTGAGGGAACGCAGTCTGGGAGATCATCATTAGACAACTGATATCTGTTGTAAGAAATACTCGCCCAAAACAAACATTTTTTCTGCTGCCGGAAGAGAAGTGATACCAATATGATAATTTATGTACTGAACCAGCGGTTTCAGGGGCGGGGATTCGACTCCCTGCCGACCCAAAGGATCCCCCTTTGTGCTATTTGAAGATCTCCATATTTAGCTGATGTCTTTTTTGGTCAAAGTTTTCCAAAAAGTGCCAAAAAACGTTTTTTTTAGCCTGTTTTTTCAAAGTTTCGCCTGCGGCGGACAAAATTTGGGCAAACTAGGGTCTTTGTTCCGATTTGTGAGAGCTCGGAAACTCAGTTTGGTCAACCTAAAAAAAAGGTCGGTAAAAATTCGAAAATTTTTTGAAAATCTACCTCCCCCTCGAGAAAATCCTAGATCCGCTCCTGCTAAAATTGACAGTTTTTCTGAGATTTATCTTAGAATATTTTGTTAAGATGCCATTTTATGCAATAAAATTTGATAGAATTTTTTGGTTTTTCTTTATTGAATGGTTCAAACAATCAGTTTCTCCCATTAATTGCTGTCGGTGTTGTAGGAGGCGCCAACACTCCGTCCCAAATCGGCCAAGACTCTGCGTGAAATGAGAACAGTTGCCTTGAACGCCGAAGCAGTCATCTCGAACCAGGTATTTGACCCAAAGAAAGTACCCAAAACGCCCCGTCCCATGTCCAACTCAGTTGGGAAGAAAAGGTGCAGGAATATAAGCCAACGAGCTTCTGAAACCAAGATTGTAGTGGAGTCACCGAGGAAAACAGACAATGAGCACAATTTAGAGGTAACTGGTGCGCCCTCCCATCTAAATGCACAGCAAGTTAGAGGATCGCCTAGAAAGTCTGCGGCCAGCTTGAACTTGATCCAAATTATCCCACCCTCAGAAGATCGAGCGGATGACGAGGAAGTGATGGCGGGAACTGGAGCGGAGGAGGGGCTGGACGAAACGACCAGGTCTCTGCTGGCAATTGAGTATCCAGATAATAAAATGAGTGATTATGAAAAGGAGAGCTTCGTTGCTCCTTTGGGACAAAGTAGTCCCAGAAATGAGCGAATCATTGACGAAAAGAACGAAGCTAATGAAGAAGACTCTCAAATGAATAGTTCCAAAATCAGCGACAACTCCACCAGAAGCAGAGAGTCAAGGCGAAGTATGAGCCACCAAAACGACGAGTTTTCTACTCAGAGTAGCCAAAATGAATCATTGAATGATTCCAGATTAGATGAAGAAGTCGGTTTGGAATGTAGTAGATCTCCGAGAGATAGAGCAAAGGACGAAACAACTTCACAATCGGAGAAGACGCTGGAGGAACCCAAGCTAGTCAGGAATGGCAATGAATCCAACTTTCCATCTGAGAAAATGCCACGGCCTAAAAAACAAAACACGCGAGAGAACCAAAAATCAAAAACAAGTGAAGCGGACCGAAACATGTCCAGCAACAACGACCTAAACACTACTTTTGAGTCTGACACTTCTTGTGTGCAGCCATCTGTAAACAGGCCGTACACTGTTCCCGAATACAAAATAGAAAAGTACAATGTACCCGAACTACGCCCGAAATCGGCAAGTGCTCGTGAAAAAAGTCAATCCAAACAAGTTTCGGATTCGGTTCAGAACTTCCACCTACCAAAGGAGGTACAACAGCGCTATGACATCATCAGTGACGAGCCTTGGGGGTTCGAGTCTTACTACGAGCCTCTTTTGCCTGGAAACTATGAGAAACTAGACTTGGATTACCTGGCAACTACTAATGCCAAAGACTGGAGAAACAGTATTAGCGATATATGCCACCCGGATGAAGTGGAAGTGGAAACTGGTTTGCTAGATCGGTTACTCGAAATCGCAAAACAGCAGAGTGCCACTGTTAAACTAGAAGAGGAGCTGAAGCGGCGACCTCGCTACATGCGCCCACGATCCTCGCAGCTGAGCACAGCCGCCTCAGTTGCCAGTGCCGTCGGAACATGGGGAGACACTTATGCGCCAGCAACAACGACCTCTAGACAGACACCTCCAGCTCCTCCCAGTCTGCCTCGGGCTCGTTCGGCTCTAGCGTCTCTTTCGTCTCGCTTTTGTCCTGAATGCAAGCATATTCCGTGTAGTGACAGCTGCAGGTACCAAGTTCAACAAACAGGCGCCAGTACAAAAGTGGCGCCACTTTTCAAACGGTGCTACTTGTGTCGCCAAATGAACTGCCCCGGAAGCAACAACTGTGCCAGTCATCAGAAAATGAAGCAGATACATAGTGCGCGTTACGAGCGAACAAAGTCGTCGACATCTAGCAAGTCTTCTGCTGTCGGATCAGCGGGATCCGAAGGTAGACCGACAAATCGACTCCTAGCTATCGAGTACCATCATGACCGAAGTTACGCCACTTCGTTAGCCAATCAGAAACGACTGATCAAAATGACCAACAAAACCAATCGGAGCTCTTCGCGGCCAAAATCTGCCGGTTCAAGCTCGGCCCGAAGAAACCAGGCGCGCCAGGAAAACACACTGAGGAATCAGAGGAAAGAAATTGGAGTTTGTGAGAGCGGTTCCAGAAGTTCACTCAACCAAGTTGACCTCTCCAATCACTTAGCCGATAACCTTGATTTTGAAAGTGCGCATAGACCAGCAAATGGTGGCTACCTTCCTAAACCACCGCCTACTGGGCGAGACATTTTAACCCTGGAGCAAAGACTGTCGGTTCTTGCGATGCCAGCCAATAAGTTGTCCAGATGTAAAAGCAGTGCAGCACCTGCTGCAAACAACATGGAGATCCAAACCTTTAAGCCTCGAAAATCCAAGTCTCCAAGAAGCACTGACGGAATGTGGCGCAGCTCCCGTGAGTCGAGAGGCAACTCAAGCAACGGCACTTCCATAGTTGAACTTTTAGTTCCCAGAATCGCTGTTCCCAGTCAACCGGAACCGCCTCCTGTTTATGTTAGCGTATATCGATCTCACAATGTAGCAACTGGCACTGGAAGGTTCAGAGGAACCAAACGCCTCGGTGGTCGGATGACAGCATTCACTTGAATGGAATCTGTATTTAACAACACTCGCACAGTGCATTAAAACAGGAGACTTATAAAAAGTTTATCGTAAAAAAATTTAATTTTGGAGACCATTGCTATGCAATAAAATATTGACAAGAACAGCCGTTGCAAGTCATTTTAAATAGGTGCGCCAGAGGTAAGTGTTCCTTCCAGTTAAATAGCGCTTAAATTGGCAGAAAATCTTTTTGTTAAGCGACTTTTGGAAAATGAACAAAACTGGGGGGTGAAGTTTCAACGTTTTTAAAAAACCAAAGTTTTTCTGCAATCTGCTTGGGTTGAGGGAGGAAATTGGAATATCTAGCACAATACAAGAACAAAAAGGATAGCGGGTTACTGTGCAAGTAGCACAGACTGTTTCGACCATAGTCTTTAGAAAACTACGGTTTAGAAAGTTTTTTTTTCCCGAATGAGTGTCGTTTTTTTTCTGCTTGGTGTGATAAAAGGATCTGACAGTAAATATAAGACAAGCATATTAGACAGTCATAGTAACATAGACAATTTGGACAAAAATTTTGTAGAAAACTGACATAAAAATTAGAAAAAACTTGAAAGTTTTTTTCCTAAATTTTTGAGGAAAAATATTTGGCAAAAAATTTTTGGTGCACAAATAGAAGCTGAAAAATTTACTTGCTTAAAAAAAGTTTTAAGGTTTTAAATTAATTATAATTCAGCTGTTGCAAGACTGCTGGCCTGCTTTATTCGCTCGAATAAAGAAGAAAAATCAAAAATTTCAAACCGTTTTTTTCAACATTGGGAAAACTTTTTGGAATTTTTAATGTCGTTCAAATCATGACTGAAAAAGCTTTAATATGATATACTACGCAACCTAGTCTGATGATCATTTGTGGTAACTAATATTGCGAGGGTACCAAAGAGAAAAAACTAAAACACAGCCGAATACAAAGTTCTTCCCCTTTTCAATGGTCGGAACAATGAATTTAAAAAAAGTACCAATTGTATTGAAAACTTCTGTGTTCCCACCGCAAATACCAGTAGAGGCCAGCTAAAGCTGAAAGGACCTGTTTGATAAATTTGTGGTACGCAAATAACAGTAGAGGCCAGCTAAAGCTGAAAATACCTGTTTGATAATTTTTGAATTTTTTGTACTGATGCGGAAGGACAATGTAATTTCAAAAACTGGGCTTCACCCAAAGCCTTAGTTCGTTCTATTTTATCTTGTACGTTCTGTGAACTCATGCATTCTGTACACTCCTGTACATGCCAAAATATCATTTAATGATATATTATTTCTCTGTGCTCTTCCATTACAATTCATGTGCAATTTGAAAATATTGTTAATTCTACGTTGTATGGGAAAATGGGTGTGTATAGAATAAGTTTTATTTTTTAGTAGATTTTAAATTTTTTCCTTTTAAGGAATGTTGTGATTTGTTTTTATCATACTCGTTCGACTTTCGTTGTTGACTAGTTACCAGTCAACTTCTAGCATGAAACGATCATTGGTCAATTCTCACTGTTCGTGTTAATCAAAATGGATCGCAAAATTGTTAATCTGGTGTTGAGAAATATGAGATAATCAGTATACATTCCCAAAAGTTTTCCTAATTGGACATTACCAAAAGATTTTAACAAGATCATTGAACGATAAAAGCTACGTCAAAAAAATGACAAAAAAGACAAAAAAGACCGAAAATTTCAAAGTCAAGAAAAATTCAGCACGCCAAATACGTAAGCTGAAACAGGTAGTTCGTAAAAATTCACTCAAAACAAGTTTGAACTTGTTTTTGAGGCCAATGTTGCAAATAGATCAAAGTCTGCGGTAAAATGAAACTTGAGATTACCTGCTTTCTTGTTCAATCGGCACTCTTTTGATCCGGCAACTGATCAAATAAGTTGACAAAAAAAACTTAAGATTCTATTTTGGTTCTTTCGATTTTTTCAGCGCTGAAACACAGCGCATTGTTGCCTGAGTAAGCAAAACGATTATGAAAAAAGCTCAACCGTGATTTGCTATGTCAAAACTTAAAATAACTTTTTTTCGAGACGTTTTTTAAACACTGCAGATACTCAGCCAAGTAAAAATTTAAATGCACTATACTTAAATGAGGCATCAAAAATACCAAAGTTTTAGATTGGCAACCTTGTTCTACGTTGGGCGCAAATATTTAAACTTCAGGTTTTGGATGCAATTTTTGCTTTTTGTGAACAACACCTCTCACTAAAAATTTGACATCACTCATGGAAAACTGGTTGAGTCCACTTCTAAAGAACTGTGTAAATTAAACTTATCAGTCCACGTAGAAATTTCAAACTTCAAAACACGTCAATTGACATTTTCATAATGACTTGGATCGGCTTGTGTTCAAATATCTTGACTAAATGCGTTCAGAAACTTTAATTGATAATTTTTGTATAGTAGTCTATTGTTCCGACTTCGGAAGAAAACGGATTATTTATGCTTGGTATGTTTTTTTATTCAGTCAACTTTCGGCGATCAAGGTAATACATTTTTAACAATAAAATTGAGGCCCCATTGAAAATACGACTCCCTGAAATTAAATTTAAAAAAGTTATTTTTTACCTCCGATCAGTTTTTGCGAAATTGTGGGAGTTTGAAAATAACCTATTTGTCTATGCTCTGCATTAATTTATGCGCGCTTTGAAGATTTTTTTAAAATGCTGAAAGCGTAACGTGAATCATTAAAGCGTGGCGACATATCCCGCACAACAAAGTCGTTTCAAATTGAATTTAGACCGTATTAACTTCGTACGACTCAAAATTTCACACTTGATCTTTGATATGATTGACCAAATTTATAGTTTTTCAGTTCACAAAAATCTATTTGATATGGATTAAAGAGCAGTCGGAACATTCAGGGCTTCGCCCTGCTGTACGAGAAGTCATGGGATCTACTTAACAATCCCCCCTATTGTACCTACTTAAGAATCTCGGCCCCCATAAATAAATACAGTAAATTAGCAGTGAGCTTTCAATTGAGAGTTGAAATTTTGCTGCATTTTGATTGGTCAAAAAATTGACCATTTTGATTTACTTAACGACCTCCCCCCTTTCTTGAAAGGGGCGAAGATTGTAAAGTAGATCCAAGTCTTGTTTTATTTTATCAAGTTTTCAATTTAATTTATTATTGGATGCAAAGTTTCTTCCAATTCCTTTTAGTTCTTCGAAAAATTACGGAAAGGTTAGCTACACAATAACCACCTGACACGATATGTTGCTCAAAACAACAGCCAAATCCCGAAATGCTCGGAATAAAATTGAGCAAATCTTTTTAACGTTTGCCGTCCCTGCTTTCACATTCGTCATGAGTTAATAATTTAAGATTCTGTAGTTTCCCAGATTCTTTACACAGAGACGAAGCACAGCTTTGCATCACTTGCCATACAACAAAAACACAGCAGCTAGCCAAAAAAATAAGACAAAAACCTGAGTCGGAAAAAAATTGAACAAAAAACTACAATTGATTGCTTTGTCTGGTATGCGGTCGAATAAGAGCTAGACGGTCGTTTTATTTTCGTACGACTCAACCTTTCACACTTGAGCCAAATTCCGAATTGCTGTTAATAAAGTTTAGCGAATCCTTTCAACGTTTGCCGTCCCTGCATCACATTCGTCATGAGTTAATAATTTAAGATTCTATAGTTTCCCAGATTCTTTACACAGAGACGAAGCACAGCTTTGAATCACTTGCCATACAACAAAAACACAGCAGCTAGCCAAAAAAATAAGACAAAAACCTGAGTCGGAAAAAATTGAACAAAAAAATACAATTGATTGCTTTGTCTGGTATGCGGTCGAATAAGAGCTTGACGGTCGTTTTAATTTCGTACGACTCAATCTGGAACGGGCTTATTGACGATTACTTAGACAACGTTTCAAACAACAAAGCCCCTAACAAAGCCGGCGGTCACTAGTTCACAAACCGACCTACCACGAACATTAGACATTAGTGGAATGGATTCCGACCCAATCCAGAGAGAAAGCTCGCCTGAAGAACCCTCGCCAATGGACTTAAAAGCGAGACTTTCCAGACCAAGAAGAAACGCGAGACTCTCCAGACCAAGGAGAAACGCAGGTGAGCGCAGATTCATAGGCAAGGTCTCCGGAAGGGATTCTTTCGACCCCACGTTAATCGTCTTAGACAAAAGCCCCACAACCATCACATATCCAGCACATTCCACCTACGGGTCATCTTCAGACTTCCTGACTTCACAAGTAGACTCGCCCCTGAAAAGTACGTTGGTAGCTGAGACAACAATAACTTGGTCATGAATCAATTCAACTCCATCGGGACTAGCCCAACCAATTCAGTGCAGACAACTCTGCCGAATTATCCTATTGAATCAACCCCGACATCACATATAAGAACAACACACCATCCAGCGAGATAGATACAGACAATGCGTCGACACGGATCTTAGACACAGATAAAATGATTTCGACGCTAAATTTAATAAAATTTTTGTCATTTAAATTCTGAAACTTTTAATTTTCTTTAGATGAATTTTTAGATCTCATATATTCTATCGTTTATGATCCAATTAGTTGTACATTTTGTAAATTACTTTTGTTTTTAGTTTAGATACCATCTTGTACATTCTGTAAACTTATGCATTCTGTACACACCTTTACATGCCAAAATATTGTTTAATGATACATTATTTCTCTGTGCTCTTCCATTACAATTCATGTGCAATTTGAAGTTATTATTAACTCTACGCTGTAGGGGGAAATAGGTGTGTATAGAATAAGTTTTTTAAATAATGCTGAAAGCGTAACGCGAATCATTTAAGCGTGGCGAAATATCCCGCACAACAAAGTCGTTTCAAATTGAATTTAGACCGTATTAACTTCGTACGACTCAAAATTTCACACTTGATCTTTGATATGATTGACCAAATTTATAGTTTTTCAGTTCACAAAAATCTATTTGATATGGATTAAGGAGCAGTCGGAACATTCAGGGCTTCGCCCTGCTGTACGAGAAGTCATGGGATCTACTTAACAATCCCCCCTATTGTACCTACTTAAGAATCTCGACCCCCATAAATAAATACAGTAAATTAGCAGTGAGCTTTCAATTGAGAGTTGAAATTTTGCTGCATTTTGATTGGTCAAAAAATTGACCATTTTGATTTACTTAACGACCTCCCCCCTTTCTTGAAAGGGGCGAAGATTGTAAAGTAGATCCAAGTCTTGTTTTATTTTATCAAGTTTTCAATTTAATTTATTATTGGATGCAAAGTTTCTTCCAATTCCTTTTAGTTCTTCGAAAAATTACGGAAAGGTTAGCTACACAATAACCACCTGACACGATATGTTGCTCAAAACAACAGCCAAATCCCGAAATGCTCGGAATAAAATTGAGCAAATCCTTTTAACGTTTGCCGTCCCTGCTTTCACATTCGTCATGAGTTAATAATTTAAGATTCTATAGTTTCCCAGATTCTTTACACAGAGACGAAGCACAGCTTTGCATCACTTGCCATACAACAAAAACACAGCAGCTAGCCAAAAAATTAAGACAAAAACCTGAGTCGGAAAAAAATTGAACAAAAAAATACAATTGATTGCTTTGTCTGGTATGCGGTCGAATAAGAGCTAGACGGTCGTTTTATTTTCGTACGACTCAATCTTTCACACTTGAGCCAAATTCCGAATTGCTGTTAATAAAGTTTAGCGAATCCTTTCAACGTTTGCCTTCGCTGCTTTCACTTTCGTCGTGAGTTAATCATTTAACATTCATTAGTTTCCCAGATGCTTTACACAGAGACGAAGCACAGCTTTTTATCACTTGCCATACAACAAAAAACCTCAGCAACTAGCGCAAAAAAAGACGAAAACTTGAGTAAAAAATGAACATAAAAAATAAAACTAATTTCTTTGTCTTGTATGCGGTTGAATTAGAGTTAAGGCATTAAGGAACACAACTTCCAGTGTTAAAAAAGCAATGGAAAACAAAAAAATATAGCCACGCTTTATGTTGAACGCAGAAAGTAAACTGTTTTTTTTTTAAAATCTTTTTTAGAAATTACAAGACAAAAATAGATGCACTTACAGCTTTTTGAAATTCTAGGACAACTTATGATCGATCCTTTTTCGACTAACTTAACCTAATTTCAGAAAACTAGAGCAATAGATTATTTTATTTTGCCGGTAAATCTGAAAATTAAAAAGAGTATGTTTATGCTCTTTCACTTATGATCTTTCACGACAAGGCATGAATGAAAATGAAACAGTAGAACGCATGAATGAAAAAAAATCATTTGCTTAGTTTCGCGCACTTTTCTTGGCTCTTTCCTAATTTTACGGCATTTTTCCCTCAGAAAGAGCAAAAACATTCTCTACAACAGTTAGAACATAGTTGAAGATGGCCTCGGGCAAAAGAGCCGCCATCGGGCACTTTGTGCCCTCAGGCCGGGCTCTTTTTCCCTCGGGCATCTTTCAACTATGTTCTAACTACTACAAAGCACTTTCGAAACTAGAAGTTAGTCACCTTTTTTCGTGACCTTTTAATTTTTTTTCTTTTTCTGTTCGATAGTTGAGTTGGCCTTCCTTTAAGCAAAAGAGATAAACTGAACTTTAGAAGAAATCTTAAGTTTAATCGCGAAAAATTAAATTTGAGCCTGAACAAGTTTTTGGACTTTTCCCGAAAAAAAATGAAGAAAACGATCAGCGCGATCTATATAGGAGTCTGAACTACGTTCATCGACTACTAAACAACATGCGAATACTGAGCAGACCTTACTTGGTTAGACGCCTGTAGAACCGAAAAAAAATTGACTTTAAATTCTTTTCAGCCATAAAAAATTTTTACACCCTTCAGGAAGCTCAAATGGACTCAACTGTAACAATCTAAACCGATGGCTTAAAAATCAGCCGTAACCATTTAAACCAAATTCAAACGAAACGCGGCAAATCAAAATGCGGAAATAATCAAAAACTTTTTGCCAGGCGTTCTGTTTGTTGCCAACAATTTAATGAAACTATTTGTTGCCCCCGAAAAAAGTCTATATTCCAATTTGATAACGCTGGCTTTTTTCAGTTGTAAAACTATTGCAGTGTTCAATGAGAACCTTAAAATCTGAAATTTCTGATAAAACTTTTTTTCGTGAAGCGTTTGCATGGTTCAGTTGTTGCCTGCTTGCAGTCACCAAGACTAGCCTTAACAAAACCAAAATGGATACGACAATTTTGTCCAATTGGCACATTTTTTTGATCTGGCAGATCAGTTGAACCAAAAAACGAAGAATTTTGTTTATTTCATTTGTGTCTAACGGTCTAGTATAACGCGCGCGCTGTGGCCTGCGTCAAAAAATAATTATAAAACTCAATCAACCATGATGTGCATGCAACGCCTAAACTTTCTTAAACCAATTCTTTTTTTGAAAAATTTATTTAAATAGTTCTACTATTCAGTCAGAAGGGTGAACAAACTTGAATACACTATGTTAACCTAATTGCGTGATAAGCTACTATATCAACTGTGATGTTATACGCAGTAAAAGGAATTACGTAATTAAGAATTACGTCAAAATATTTTTGTTTAAAAAATCGTCCAAGGTTGGAATCTATCTGAGCAAATAACCTGAGTAAACTTTATAATTTGCCCTAACTCTTATTAAATCAATATTGAAGTGCAAAAAAATCATCAGTCAATTTAATACACAATTTTACAGCAAGTTGAAAAAATGTAACTAACTGCAGCAGAGCTTCAACAGATTAGTGCAACGGCTACCTATAGATGTAAAACTACTATGAAGCCCACCGTAGCGGGATTTTCATTTTGTGAACTCGTTTGACTAAGAAGCTTTGTTGTAAAAAACTGTCAGCAGAAATGAAGGCAGTCGAATCAATATCAATCGGTTGCTGTGAAAGTATCTCAAAGTGTTCCGATCACACTTATCTTAGCAAATTTAAAATTTGTAAATTAAGTTTTCAACTTTTTGCATTGAGTCAATTTAATCGGTTGTATTAATTTCGTAAAGACTCAAAGTTTCACTCTTTATGTTTGATAATGTACAAATTCATGGATTATCATTTTTTCTTTACCTGAAGTTTATCGATTCGGATTTAGGTGCAGTCGAAACATTCAGTGCTTTGCTCTGATATACGAGGGCTCAAGTTCATTACTCTGCAGTACGCAATTCGCGGGGTCAAAAATTACGGAGTTAAACATTTTTGAACAAAAAAGGCGTTTTACATTGCGGAGGGTTCAAAATTATCACGCGGGTCCCGCAATTTTGGATCAATTTAATCGTAAAACAAAGCCAAAATTTTCATGGACCATTAAAGTTGGCATAAAACTTTTATTTCATCCAGACATTTTTTCGCGTTGAAAACTTAAGATTTAGTTCCGACCTTTGAAATTGGGGAGAAACTTTGTAATTGGCTTTGTTTTAGTCTTTTAATTTTTTTCTTGTTTGTTTTCCAAGCCAAATCAGATATCACGAAAACTCATCGGACTGGTTAAGTGAGATATCTATCACATTGAAGCCCTTTCAGCCGCGATTCGCACTCGTAGAAAACTTCCAAAACAATTTCTACTGTTGAGAAAAACCGGTTTGAAGTTTCTGATTTTCCGTCTACTTTTGCATTATGCATAATTTAGGCCGTTTACAATAACTTATTTGTGCTTCATATTAATTTTACTAGTTGAGTAAAGTTGATTTCTGGAGTTTTTAACACCATTTTTCGAATCAAAACTTCATAAATTTTGGCAAAAAAAAATGAAATTTATGATTTTTTCTTGGTTTTTTTTCAGAAATTGTTGTCCGATTTGCCTATTTTACTAAACGTCGAACGTGCCTAATTGCTAGTTTTTGTTCAGACCCTTTTATCACACCACCCAGAAATAACGACACTAAATTATAGAAGAAAAACTTTTTTATTGAGTATGGTGGGAACATTGTGCTACTTGCACAGTAACCAGCAATTCTTGTTTTTATTTGGAGCTGTCAAAAATGGCAGGTTTTTCTAAGCATTCCGGTGCGAGCCATTCGGATCCCTCTCCTCCCCTCTCCCCTCCACCCCACCCCAGATTTGGAGGGGTCAATATTCTATAGGGTCCATGAAGGAGGAAGGGGGTGGGTTTCGCGACAATTGAGAAGTGCAGAGTATGACATGTCTGATTAGCACAACAATTAAGCTCGTTGAAAATCGTTCAAGCAAAGTTGGTTCTGAAATCAACATTAATAACTGGAAGGTTGCAGCGATGTTAGGAAAGCGAAAGCTCCTTTCTGTTGCGCTGTACAATAATCAATTCAACATTTTTCCCCATAAGTAGTCAAATCAACTCTTTTATTCTCAATTTGTCTTAAATTCTCCTATACCACATGCATCTTTTAAGGTCGCCTATACAAACTACTACCAAAGTGTTTTCGGAGTTTCAGAATATAATTTGGAATAAATAATGTTTATCTAAGTAATAGGGGGTCTACCCTATGAGCTATCATAGTTTGCGTTTGATCAGCTTCTCCAGCCTCCTCATTCGGCTTGATTCGTTTTCGATTGGCTGAGCAGATGGCTGTGAAGCACTCTGAACTCCCCCGCTGCTGCCACTATGGTTACTCATAGCATGGGCGTGATTGTTCATGACGGACGAAGAAGACAATATGGAGTGTGTGTTGGATGCGTCCATGTTCCCTCCAGATGCCGTTGCTTGTGCTCCCCGGTTCGAATCGTGCACTTGGGCCACCCTGGCTCTGAACAAATCAAGCAGAGGCATCTGATCATGCTTCTTCATCGCCTTCATGTCTAGAAGCTTCTGGAACATTGCCAAGTCATAGTCTTGCATTAGCTTCAGGTAATACTCCACATAGTCACGTGGACTGTCAATTTTGGACATGACCACTTTCAGCATCATCTCGGCTCGCGTCATTTCTCGAACTACTATTTTAGTGTAGCTTGCAGGTGGCTTCCGCACAACTTGGCTACCTATAGAGGGAAGATCCATCAAAATAGTCTTCAAAGAATGAGTATCTAACAACAGCTGCTCAGCTCCAAACGTTCTATACTCGTTACCTACTATACTAATGAGAGGCTTGCATTTTACCACATAGGATATGAACTTCGGGATGAAAGAATTGACAAACTTGACGCAAAATTGGGTGAAATATTTCCTAGCCGAGGCGAGACAGTCTCGTATAATTGGAACGTTCATTTTGATATGTGTGTTAATTGCATTGACGTAATTGCTCGTGTCTCGTACCGAATCGAATGCGAGCCAGTTTAACTTGGACATGGCAACCAGAGGCGGCTCACAGGAGTTCTCCAAGTCCTGCACTAGAAGCTGAATGCAGGCCGAGATCACATTATGGAAGGAGTCGTACTGACTGGCAAAGGACACTTTGTCCTGCAGGTCTGAATTGATCTTGCTTTTCAGCTTCTCTTCCAATTGAACGGCTGTTTCCAAACAGTACTCTGCTGAACTCAACAACACACAGCACAATCTCACTTCGTCTTGCACTAGCTTAGCCGAAACCGGTTCCTTCTCACTTAGCAGACTGGTCAAATTGGCCCCCAAACTCATCCCAATTCCAGACTCTCTGATTGTAGCCTTGTTGGGCAAGTTCATTAATAGAACTCGGTTTGCAAACTCGTTCAGGTACTTGGCAAAGATGTTGGTGAGAGACAAGAGAGATGTTCCTGTACTCAACTGGCAACACTGAATCAGACACTTTTTGTAGTACACGAAGAAGTCGGCACAGCATGGCAATGTCACCGCCTGTTCATCAGTCGCTTGCGGAATCGGGTTTCTCTTCACATCCGACGAAAATCTAGCTATCATCTCGCTCAAATTTTTATCGAGCGACTCGATGTAAATATGCAAATAGGGTTCAAAACTTCGTGAAATTAAACCTGAAAACACTCCAACATTGTCATCAATTGAATCGTGCGGCTGTGCTGAACTTTGCTTCGTAGAGGCAGGCAAAGTATCAGCGTCTTTTGCAAACTTTTTGCTCATCACTTCCTCAAAAGCAGTTGTTTTCTGAATAGCGAACAGCAATAATTTCACTTCGATTTCGCTCTGTCTATTTCGCATCACTTTGGTCAGCTCCTCTCGTGTTATCCTCGCAAACTCGACACAGATTAGTTTGCCTACCATCCAATGAGCAGGAAAAATGTGATTGAACTTGTGCTCAAAATCAGCCAGAGTTTTCTTGATCCAGGAAAAGCGTCTGTCAATCTTATCCAACCAGGCCGAGTCTTGATCGGGACTGAAGAGAACCAAATACTCCTGCAGCTGCACCTCGATGAACCACGCCAGCAGGTCTCTCTTGTACTTGGGCTCCAGAATGTTCACCACTCGACACGCTTCTGACAGCTGCTTAGAAGCAGCAACTGGATTGCCACCTGGCTTAAAAGCATCCTTGAAATCGACCAAGATCTGCTCTCCCAGTTGGGTCTGAAGTGCTGTCATTTGAGTGGAGAGTTCTTTGATTTCCGGAATTGCATTATATTTATCCAGGTATACCAGCACGTCAAGCAAGCCTTCCAACATGCTGGCAACTTCGCCGTACTGCCTTTTCCTGCTCAAATGTTGCAGTGAGTCGATGCCACTAACTAGCATTTGCAGGTGATTCAATGTAGTGATCGCAGTTGTGAGATTCCGCTTAGCATTGTCTAGTTTCTTGATATCTCGCGTGATTTCTTTCACCATCCGTTCAGACTGTTCCGCCTTCTCCTTGATGTCTAGAATGCGAACAAAGAGAGTTTCAATCGCATTTTCGGCCTCATGTAACGCCGCGTTGCCATCCGAAGTGGTCTCAGTTTGAGTGCGGATCACGCCTCGGATCTCATCGTCAAGACTTTGTGTTTTCTGACATATTTTGCCAACTACGTCGTCAATAGAGGCCAGGCTCTGCTCGGTAGGGAAGAGCGTGTTGATGTAATTCACTATATTGAAGTTTGGGTCATCCAAGGGGTCTTCGCTGGGAAACAACTCCTTCAGAACCTCTTCTACTTCTGGCGGGTACTTGATGAGTTCGGCGTCAATGGCTCGCTGGTCCAGAATGTAATCGTTGTTTCCTCCTGAAGCACCAGACGCCATTGCTACAAAGCCTACTCTGAAAAGTTTAGCAGCCTGTCTTGATATTTCACATTACAAGTCTTTTAGTTTCATGTTTCATTAAATTTTTTTCCATTAAAATGTCTGGAGTAGTGAAAATAATGCATCGGATTTTGACTAAACTTTTCATTCTTTTCAACAAAAGTTCTTAGAAAAACGCTCCAGATACCACCAATTCAAAATGCAAACTAAATCGGATACAGAGAAATTGATGCTGTCAAATTTGCAGTCAAACCTGCAAACAGCGAGATTTACTCATTCTATAGTCGTAGGCGCTTAAGGAAATGGCTTAAAATAAGTGTGCCGGTCGCTAGATCTCCGAATAGCTAAGTACACGTGTCAGAAAGCCTCATTCTAAATGAAACATTTTGAAATAGATCTTTACGTTACGGCTAACTCACAAGAAGTCACTTCGCGAACGAAAGAGCATGTGACGTTTCGATCCTTCAGCATTCTTTCATCCACCAAAAAACACGCAAGCCTTAAAAAGTGCATGACATTTCCAAAAACGGGGCTATACACTCTTCACTATTCGCTGACACATTATAACAAATTAAATCAAAAAAGCTACCTCATTAAATCATCGGATTTTTTTTTTCTGTTTTAATTAGCTTTTTTAGTTTTTTTAGCTGTTTTATTCAGCTTCCTTTCTGCGTCTTTCAACTCAGTTGATTTTGAATCGACGAAAAAAGTCAACAAAAAATGTTACCTCAGTATTGCATCTAAATTTTTAACAAACTTTTGAGAAAATTTAAAAGAAAAAGTTATTTTTTTCTTCCACTTAAAACTGCTAATACATATCGCAGCAAAAAGTGTTAATGATAATGTACTCAAAAAACCATAAAAACTATTCCAGCTTTTAAATTTCAAGTGAAAAAATATATCACCATAAAGCTTTAGAGCTTCAATATAAACAAAGATAGCGGGCTACTGTGCAAGTAGCACAAAATGTTCCGACCATTGTCTAAAAAATACAATTTTTTTTTCAAGTAAGTCGTTTTTTTTCCCGAGTAGTGCGATAAAAAAGATGAACGAAAAATAGAGATTAGGCAAATGCGACAGTCATAGTCATATAGTACAATTGGAAGACAGTTTTTCTAGAAAAATGGCTAGAAAAACGAAAAAATTGTACAAAAAATTGTTTTCTTTTTGCAAAAATTTTATGAATTTTTGAAAATTTCTATATCCAAAATGGCGTTGAACAAATTCAAAAACTAAATTTACTCCAGTAAACTTTAGGGGTTTTCATGAATTAATTGAAGCTAAAATAGGCTATTGTAAGCCAGCACACTCATTTTAAATGTGGAGTTTTCAAATGTGGTTCGAATCACGACTGAAAGCGCTTCAATATGATATATCACTCTACCCAGTCCGATGATTATTTGTGGTACCTGATTATGCGCAGAAAACAAAAAACTAAAACACACCCGAACAAAAAGTTCCTCCCCATTTTCAATAGTCGGACTAAAAAAAATTAGCTCCGACTACGGGATTCGAAACGGAGTCTTCTGAAGTACGAGTCATACAACATCGCTATCGAACTATCGCAGACAGTAAATGCGGTTTCATGAAAAGGATTAGATGCATGCTAGTAAATCGCTCGCCGCATAGAGTTCGATCAAGATGAAGTTTACAGAACACAGAAAAATTCAGGAAGAAGGTGAAATTATCACAACTGGATCAAAAGGAACCAAAAACTTCTCCAAAAAACTTAATGATTGGCGGTTTTTTGATAACATTAACCCAATTTGAGAAAATCGGATCAATAGATAAAGTTTTCAATCCACTGGAACTCTAAAATTAAATTCCACTTTCGAAACAAGAAAATGTTCGTTTTTTTCCGACATATCCACGTTCGTATATGTAGAATGTTATTCACGCAACTTTCAGCAGATGAATTTCAATTGAACTCAAAAATTGCACATATACCTTAGTGCAATCATAAATGCATTATTATGTATGAATGCACAACTAGTTATTAGAGCATTTTAATTTTTTCCAGAAAAAAAATATCAAGACCTATACCAGAGTCTTCACTACTTTCATTACTCTCAATTCCAGAAGCAACTGTAACAACAATTCAACAATATGACATCTAAGCCGACAAAACATAAGCAGATCAATAATAAGCCGATGCAAAAAAATCAACAAATTATTGTGATAAACTTATCAAAATGCTTCATGTTGAAATGTTCGGAGTGTGAAAGCTGCAGGACGATCGAATGATACTACTCTTGCGAAAAAAAAATCGGTAACAACGCGCCTCAAACCGGCGACTATTCTTCTCGGAGGACAAAGTCAACCCTTGCTCCGGTTTATTGCTGTTGCTGCTTATTGCCTCAGCCTTTCCATCCTTCAAGTGAACCTGCATCTGAGAACAAAAGTCGACAGGGAGTGGATTCAAGCACGCACTGCTGGTGTGGTACGTTCAAATCAGTACCACTAGACTACATGAACTCGCAAACTTTACTTCAAAATAATCAAAGTAATCAATGGCCTATTTCTACGAATATTCAGCGTGTGGTACATGCCAACAGAAAATTGACGGAGAAAATTTCCAATGCCTCACCTGCACTGGGATCTTCCATTACACTAACAAATGCACAGGTTTTCCCGTGAACCTGATGCATGAGTTAAGAATTTCGCTGCAATTTCCCGATGCTCTGCAACGAGAGCACTGGGCGGGGCCGGAGACTTCGTCATTGGGGATATGGCCAAGAAATCTGTTACTGCCGAAGTTGAAGCATCATCTGTGTCCTCAATTGAGAAGACAGATAAAGACTAAGAGTCAAAAATAGAAGAAAATCATTTGCAAATTGACACCCAGTTACGGAATTACTCAGCCGTAGTTTAAATCGATCAAGTGACGTCACAAAACCTGAAGCTGTACAAAACAAAATCAATGTCGAACTCAGCAAACCCAATACTCGCTAAGAGTCTCTGGTATCCCCGAAGGCTCTTTTGACGAAACGTCTGCCTTCATTGAGGCAATGCTTCAGCATCTGGAAGGGAAACCTACAATAACAAACATCAGACGGTTGGGAGAAAAGAAGACAAACTCTGAACGGCCGCATACTATGCTTATATCTCTGTCCAACTCAATCGATGCAAAAAATTACTCTGTAAATCTCCGAATCTCAAGTCTTCCAAGAGGATCAAGTATTGGAAAATAAATTGCTCGCCAAAAGCAGAAGTCATATAAGCGAAGGCGTGAGCAGAACTCTATTGAAAATAAAGAACGGAGGATATCCAGTTCCTATTGATGAAGAATGATTATCTACGACCCAAAGTATCTGTACAATAGTATCAATGAACTTCAGAAGCATTATGTTGAAAACTCGAAGAGAAGCAAAATGTAGAACTATTTTATCCAGCGATGATGCCGGTGTCTTTTGTTTCAGCGAGACATGATGGACGGAAAACATGGCTGATGGCGAATTGTCTCTACCAGAATTTCATCTCTATCGCTGTGAACGTCCAACAATCACACCTTCCCTTCATGGTGGTGTAATGATAGCTATTTAAAACTCTTTCCTTCATGCTCCACTAGACACAGATGGTCCAACTGATATCACTGCTTGCTCGATCGGCCCTGGGTATGAAGTACATTTGTTCTGCGTATACAACCCCCCTAAGCAAAGTCCCTATCGCTGGCCCCAGTCAAAATGGAAATCATTAATTGATATCTGGGTCAAATTGGAGCTGCATGCATTCTGAAGATCCGTACGAATCGGCCGTCCTAGAGATGCTTGAGAAAACTGATCTGTCAAATAAAAAATTTTGATACTGCTGCGACCGGAGTTCTAGATGTGATCTTTTGCAATTGTGATGATTGGCTTGATGTGAAAAAAGACTCAGCGTTCACCAACTCTTACAATGTAAATGAACGCGCCGCATCAAATCACAAAGCATCGAAGCTCGTCATTCCATATGAAGTCTCCGCCATCATTAAAGAGTCACCCAAACGAGTTTTCAGCTACTGTCACGGCAACTTCGAAGAACTCAATGCTTTGGTGGAAGGACAACCTTTCAGTGGTATATGCTGGACAAACCCCGATACTCGTATAAATCAATGGACAATCTGGTTAGAAGCTAAACTGATACTGACGGTTCCTCAGAAGACTCTCCATCGTCAAAGCTTGCCTCCCTGGGTCTCGAAAGAAACTTCCTTCCTTCTGAAAAAACTCAACTCAACGTAAGATGCTGAATAACCATTGGACTTTCCCAAGACAAAACAAAATAGACGTTCTTTCCGATGTTAACCACAAACTGTTGGTTGATCAAACTCGATACGAAACAAAACTTGCCGATAGTCGCTATAGCACTGCTATATTCGCATATTTCAAGGTTGTTAGATCTAGTTAACAGTTACCACCATTCAGTGAGTGGCGAGGCACAAAAGCCACAGATCAAAGAGGCATATGCAATCTTTTCAATCGCTTCTTCAATTCAGCATTCACAGCAAAGGAAGCTCCTGTTGAGCAAAGTCCCCTTCCAGCGGTCAATATAGACGATTACAACATATCAATGGAGAAAATGGAAAGCATATCACATGCTCTCGACATTCCGAAAGCAAGGAGCCCCGATGGACTGCCTCCTGTTCTTTTCCCCATTCTGGCAAAATCTCTTTTCAGCGACTTTTTCTGCATTAAGTTTCCTCAATTTTGGAAAACAGGCAAGTAAACCCTTGCATAAAAAACTTAGCAAAACTCAAGCTGAGAACTAGAGGCCTGTCACCTTCTTGAACATTGCTTCAAAAATTTTCGAAAAATGCTTCAGAGACTCGCTGTATACTAAGAACACTTCTAGATGATTCACAGTATGGGTTCATGAAAAAAACTTCTGAGTTATTTCGACGATGTTTATAAAGGCACGCACTGATGACCCCTCCGTCACAGTTCAAGCTGTCTGTCTAAATTTTGCTAAAGCCTTTGATAAAATAAATAACCGATAAATAAATTGAGGAACATTAGAGTCGGAGGAAAGTTGTTGCGAGTGATTGAAGCATAGTTAACGGGACGCAATCAATTTGTTCAGGTCGGCTCTGTGAAATCACTTGTTCTACTTGTCGAGAGTGGAGTTCCTCAAGGATCAATTTTGGGTCCCTTGTTATTTCAAGTATACGTATTGGATATTCCCGTGGGATTAGCCTAGAGTTTTTACAGCTTTGTCGACGACTCAAAACTCTTGTCTATTCATCTGGGCATGACTTGTAAATTGTAACACGACCTAGAAGTCGCTGGTAAATGGTGCCTTGAAAAATATGAAAATGAATAACAGTAAATGCCATGTCCTGTGTTTTGCAACAAACGGCTGCTGTCCTTTGTCATTGCTCGACAACGAGCTATCTGAGTCCTCGGAAGAGAAAGATTTGGGCATAACTGTTTCAGCCGACTTGAGCTGGACTCCATATGTTTCCTCTATCTGCCGTAAAACCATTGCTACTTTCTTTCTCGTGAAAAGAAATGCTTCGCCTTATTTGAGCTCGAACAGCAAACTGAAGTTGTATAAGTCAATGATTCTCCCGTGCCTGACGTATGGTAGGTAGCGCGATATGGTACCCCAACAAAGGGAACATGAGATCAATCGAATCTATTCAGAAGTGTAGCTGGTGGATGTTCATCAGTGTAGTTTCATAAGTTAAGATACACTGATGAACATTACAAGGCTCAGCTACATATCCTGAACATTCTTCCACAAACTCTTTATCTCGAACTCAATTGTTTGCTTCTCCTATCAAAAATTATTAACGGGCGCTATTTTTTCAGTTGGCACAAATATGTATCCTTTTCATGCAGCCGTGGTAAACTGTTTAATCTTCCGCGAGTTCGGCACGAAACATCAAGAAGAAATTTCTGGTAACGCTCTTGCCAGCTGGCAGACTTCATTAACAGGACCGTGACAGCGAAAACCTGAAAGCCAATTTGCTAAAATTTTACTAGAATTTTGAGACTTAAGTTACAGCACAGTGAACCCCTGCAGTTGGAGAGTGCTATGTCTTGGTCAAACTGCAGCCTCTCAACTTTTTAGTTGTTGTTTTGAAAGCGATCCCTTCATCTTCGATGTTAATTCATAATATGGTAACGGACGGGTAAAATAAAGCCTGTTAAATTAAGCGACATAAGTTGACTAAGCCGATATAACATAGGCCGAAACCAAAATCAGATTTGGTAAACGTAGACACTATAAAAATTTTCAATTATACTTAAAACTGTTTTAATCAAAAACAAAAAAACCAGCTTTGGAAAGAAACTGCTTGAAAAGCGCACCAGATAAATTTTTTTTGGAAAAACGGAAAATCAGAGGGCAAAAATCAAGATGAGAACCAAAGTCCAAAAAAATCAACATTTTTTCAATTAAAATAATTGAAAACAATAATTAACTAAGAACTTGTTTTATTTGAACTGCTATTTGGAAAATATTCAACTATCAGAATTTGTCAAGAAAAATTTTTTACGGGGAAAAAGTATCGCAAATGAAAACATAGCCAACAAGGCAGTTTGAAAAGAGTCAATGAACTCAAGTAAGCAGAAAAAAATGATGACAAGTTTTTTGAAAAAGTCGCAACACTCGAACCTCAAAGAAACAAACAGATGCTCTGAAAGCTCTTTGAGTTTCTAGAAAAATTTGTGATTGGCACTTTTTTGATAATTATAACCCAATTTGAGAAAACTGGATCAATAATTTATTGTTTTTTCGCTGGGAAATTTGCAAGTTCAATTCTCTTTAATCGTCAAAGTTTTTGCGCCCTTTTCGCTTTCGTAAATGAAGTGCGAATTTTTTCCTAAATTTAAGGGTAAAAAATTGAACTGAACTTAAAAATTGCATGCATAGCTAAAGGCATTCAAAAATGCATCAATATGTATGACTGCACTTCTGGAGTTATTAGAGCATTTTAAAACTTTTTCCTAGAAAAAAAAACGAACAAACATCATCAAGAATTTACTCGTTCCTTTACAATTAATCACTTAAATTTACATCGATTTTTTCCTTTTAGGTAACGCTATAGACATGCGTTTATGTCTTTTTAATTCGATTCTCTTATGGGCTATACAAAAAATCTTTTTTCGGCATTACTCAGAAACCACAAAAAGGAGTTGATATCAAAAATAACTGACTTTTTTTGCCTCTCAAATAAAAACAAACAATTCAAATAAAAATCTAAGTGATTGGAAAAATATGATTCCTGGAGAACAAAACAAGGTCATGCGTTTATGTCTTTTTAATTCGATTCTTTTATGGGCTATACAAAAAATCTTTTTTCGGCATTACTCAGAAACCACAAAAAGGAGTTGATATCAAAAATGACTGACTTTTTTTGCCTCTCAAATAAAAACAAACAATTCAAATAAAAATCTAAGTGATTGGAAAAATATGATTCCTGGAGAACAAAACAAGGTAATTTTGTCAGTTCTAGTCGTTAGTGGAAACATTTTTTTTCATTCAGACTACTGATTTGATCTCAATTTGGTTACTCCTTTGCACAAATTTGAGTAATATAACAAAAAATCAAAAATAAGGAACAATAAGGTTCGAATAAGGGAGAATGAAATAGTTTCAATTAAGCACTAAATAGTGCAAAAGAAACGAAAGCAAAATGGAAAATAAATTGAAATCTTTGTAATAGATCAATATCAACTTTACATTATTAACGGCATATTACCCATTTATATATTTAGCATACAATTAGCCCAACAATGTGAGCAATCGGCAATCACTACATAACAACTTCGAGTATCGCAGATAATTTGATGAAGCGCATGGAAAATTAAGAAATAAAGCCAGCAGACAGTTGGAAAAGCGTTCATAAACTCAAGCAAAGAAAAAAACGACTGATCTAATTTTTTTGTAATCTTAACAACTATTTAACAAGTTACACGTGTCGGTAATTCTCTATCAAATTCGCGTCAATACATACTAAATTTGAAGAGGTAGTGCTCGCCGAAAAAAAAGCGATTCTCTTTAAAACATTCCAAAATTCGTTTTTGGTCTGTTTTTTTTTTAAAGATAAAGAAATTTTGCAAAGGTTTTTTTTGGAATTCTGCCTTATCGAGAAAACCATTGGGTAGCGCCTGCGTTGATTATTGCAAAGACCAAAAAAACAAGACCTTATTAGCTGAAAATAACCATCGTTTATTAACGCTTAATAAAAAACATACGTTTACCTGAGCGTTGTACTAGTATGAACTAGTCAGATATTGGTGTAAAATGTAAATCAATTAACGACTGAACAAATGCTCTATCACATTTCTCAGCTATACATATTTCAATTTTATACAATTTCATGTTTAGTTAAAGCAATTTTCAGTCAGAAGCAGTGACATCGGCAACTTCTTCTTCCACTTCATCCAGGGACTTGGAGGTTTGGGGGCCCTGGAACTTGGCGCGCCTGTTGGGCGGGAGGAACTGCAACAGCTGTGCGACAGTGTCCTCAACCAAGTCTACAAACTTGCCACTGTTTGAATCCACGGATGCCATCGTCGCTCCTGGACTCTCTGGAACTGCTCCACTGGGTCCTACAGGACTCAAGTCTATAGGCACCCCACTGCCCGGCTGCAGGTCAAACACTGTGCCCCCCAAGGACACTTTGGGCTGCTCCAGTTCTATGATCTCTTTCACCTTATGCACGATGCTGTGGTGGCGAATGTCCATGATGTTCCTCGAGATCAGACAGCTTCCTGTGGCCACTTCCTGGTCCAGTTCGCCCTGCAGCCATCTCGCAACCTCTTCATCATTGGTCCAGCTGGATATACTCATGGCCCCTTTTGCTTCCAGGAACCATCTCTGCATCATCGACGAGAATTGCTTCCGAGATATTTGCCTAAGCCAAGCATGAAATCAAAATTTAAGTCTGAATTTGTATACTTTAAAGGCAGTCTGATTCTAAAAACTTTTTTTTCGGTCAAATTTTGTTTTTAAAAAATGTTACTGCTAGAGACTTGTGCAATTGCACAACAACCAAACTTAAGTTTTACAAAGTGACTGCAACAAAAAACTTCTGAACAAGCCAACGTAATGCATCAATTTGGGGGTCTGTTTTTGATAGCTGATAGCTTGAGGCAAACATTTGGTACCCTAGCCAGGAGAGATAACCCCAGAACTTGAGACATGGAGTAGAACTGATTAAAACAATAATCAATTAACCCAAAACCAATACGAATTGGAGAACAGATAATTTTCACTCCAGAAACTAAGGTTTGTATTCAACACTTACTTCAGCCACCTTTGAAATGGAAAATACGAATCAAGTCAACCAAAGGGTCAGTATAGAACAACAGAAAACTCAAAACAAAAAGGGTTAAATAAACAAGACTAAAGCTAAATCGAACTGTCCATGTTGCGCTTCGTTTCTTGTAAATACTTCACTCGAACTTCCTAATCTATTTTTCGCTCTTCTTTACTGATAAAATCTGTTTTTAAACATTGAGCATATTCAAAAGCAGAGAGTGTAAATAGACTCACGTATGCACAATTCTACGGAAGAATATGTTCTTGAGAGAGAGTCTTTTGAACCTCCAGTAGAAGAACTTTCTGGAAGTTTTCCAGTCCACTATGTCGTTGATCACGTCCTTCTTCATCATTCGGGCTGGCGTGTCGTGCAAGTCGGCGAAGTGAACTGCGATCGAATGGTACACAGATCCCAACACTTCCTCACGTCGTTTGAGGCTCGCTTCTAGCTCTGCTTTCGCCTCCGCTGTCAAGTCCGCATTTGCCAACTGGTCTTCCAATCTCCTGTACGTGTCGTCCACTCGCCTCATCGCTAACTTGATGTCCTTCCATTTGAACTTAATTTCCACAGTACCTTCCGGCTCCAACACACCTCCTCGACTGTTGGGATCTGCGTACATTTCCATCACCTGGTAGTTGATCGAAGGATCAATTACCACCCACGCTCCTCCTCTCAGCTCCGCGTAAGGTGGGATGTAAATCAGCACAGGTTGGCTACATTGTCTCAGTTCATCAACTATGTAGGATCCGAACTTGAGCACTTGGTCAAACATGTCTTTCATGCCTCCTGAAAAGCCTCGCCAGTTTGCAAACACCATGATTGGCAGCTCCTCGTGGTTGAAATCCTTTATCACCTGGGCTGTTTTATACGCCGAGTCGGGATACCACACTTGTCCAGCTTGCGATTGGATTTTTGATTCTGAAGTTGGATTTGCGGGATCTGCGGGAGTCTCGACATCTACAGTCCTTGTTTCCACGGCAATTACTCCAATAGGCATGCCACCTATACGTCCCCGTCCTGTGACAACTGTTGGCGCCCATGGGGCCATGATTTCGTCGAAGGATCCCACATCGAGGAAGCCTTTTTGAAATGAGCCGTCGTGATTATGTTTTCCAGCTATCATGTGTCTGGGGTCGTAGGGCTGCTTTGAGGGGATGAAATCAACCTCACGGTCCACAGGATCCGATTCCGGGAGAAGAGGTGGATCGCCACTCTTGCAAGCAGGCACAAATGACAGCCAAAGCACAAACTTTTTCAGCGCTTCGTGGTCATTATCTGCAATGCAGTGCGATACACCGTTAAAATGCATCACTTGCGTTCCTCCCAACTGGCTGTTGTCACTGTACACTTCTCTCCCTAGCAGCTTATTCAATGCGGCATATCCAGTCAAAATGATATTCGAATTGTCCACTTGGATCACTCGCTGTCCAAGCCGCACTAGATACGAACCGATTCCAATTGCTCTGCAAGTCACAATGCTATAAGTCACCACATCTTGATACGCCTGTGACGTCTCTCCCGCAATCAGGCCACTTCCTTGCAGGTTCTCCACTCCCAGTCCGGGATCTTTGCCGATGATAGCGGTGATCTTGTATCTCGACTCTCCGTTATCTTCGATCAACTCCGTTTCAACGGAGTCGCTGGAACTGATCTTCTTATAGTCGCTGGGAGTCAGATAGATGTACTTGAACCCACGCTCTGGTTTCTTCGGATCATCCCAAGCCACTCGGAAAAGCGATTTTAACTCGTTTGCAAGCCCAATTCTCGCACCACTATTGGCTGAAACGTATAATCTCGGAATTTTCAGTTTCCTACTAAGTTCTGAAGCCTTTTTAAACAAATTGTCCTCCGCAACGCCAAATGAGCCAAGTTGGAATGTAATATCGTTCGCAATGAAAACTATTTCTCGTCCTTGAGGACATTCCGGAGTCATCAATGTCATTCGCCACGCCACCATTCCGATAGTGTTCTCTGCTGGGTTTCTGTTGATTGAAACCAACTCATTACTTGTGTTAAGCACCAATTCTTGACACTTGAGCACAGTCTTTGGAACTTTGACTTGACTGTGTTGCCTGTTGAAATCTTCCCACTGCTGTGCGATTATGTTCTGCAGCACTGTGGGGTAGTCGTACACATAGGTAGTCCCAGTTCCATGAGTTTGCGCGGCAAATCTCTTCGATTGCAGATGGTTCTTGGTCAGATACGCAGTTCCGATAGACATGCCTTCCATCGGTCCTGAGTCATGTTTGGACCATGATTGGAATATGATGTTGCCTGTAGCCGTGTCCAGTCGTTCTCTGTACGTGTGAAGTTTCAATACGAATCCTGACTCGTTATCAACAGTGACTCGAATGGGAATCGGCTCCGAGTCCTCTGTCGGACGAATCATGAACTTCAACTCGGCGCACAGCACCCGTCGTCGCCACAGGCGGAGCCCGAACTTCTCAATCATGTCTCGCACGTAGGACTCTACAAATGCCGGGTCAATGAGGACAGTGGGGACGAAATTGAAGAAGATATGGTTGCAATCTGTTTTCGGGTTGTCGGCATTGTGACAATGCAGCTCTAGCTCATCCAACGCTTCCAACAACAACTTCTCAGCTTCACTCTTTAAATACTCCGTGGCGGATGCAGAGGTCTTCAAACTAGCGTGTCTAACAATTGCTCGCAAAAAGAACCTGCAATCTTTACTTCCTGTTTCAGTTTTAGCTTTGGCTAAATAAATGTGGAGTCTCAAATTGTTACTCGGCAGAATCCTTAAATCATAGTTCCTCATTCGATGAATTTCAAGCTGGAACGCCATCGCTGGTTCCAAGTGACGGTACAATGTATCCTCGGCGAATTTTACTTCACGCAATGATGGATCACTTCCACTTTTATGCAGGTTGAAAGCTCTTTCATACTCCAGAATACTGCTGGATCTAAAGGTGAAAAACCTTGCAGGGTAGTCCATACTTTTTGGCGTCTTTGGAAATACCATGAATGTGCACCTTCGCACATTGTACTGCAAAAACATTTTCAGGTTTTCTGAGCAGATCTGCTGCAGGATCTGAACCAACTCGGAGTCTTGCACTTCTTCCTGCTCCTTCACCATGAAGTTCAAGATATGAATGGGCTCCTTAGGCTTCGAAGGACGATCCAGCTCACGGAACAAGGGCGCCGCAGATGCATACAAACCCTCGTGCTCTCGATCTGGGAATGTTTGGATCACACTTGCAACAAATTTTTTCATGACATCAATACTCGGAAAGGCAGCCATGACTCCCACTCTGTCGTAGATATTGTTCTCGCCAGTGCTGTCGGTTTCGGGGAAGAAATTGTCGCTGATGATGCTTGGACTGCGGAACATGCGATGTCTGTTGGGGTGGAACTTGGGCAGACTGAATTCGAAAACAGTCATCGGAATCGAATCGTCCAGCTGCTCATGACTCATACTGTGCACTTCGTACGCAATATAAGACCTCCTGATATAAACCTCGAGGGACAAGAAAGCTATTTGTAAGTTGGAGTGGAAAAAGAAGGCCGGCAGCACGTCGAAAATGGCCATGTCTTGATTGATGAGATCGTATAATTCTGTAGTGGCCACTTTGTCAATGAAGGACGCCGAGTCGAGGATCTTGATGAAGACGGCCTCGAGAGTGTTCTTTCTACTCTCGTAGCTGGGCTGGTACAAGCTGATCAGCGCCTTTCTAGCTTTTAGCGCCACTTTGTTATTCACCGGCTGATTGAGCTCGGTGAATCTGACGAATACGGACTTGAGTTTGGGAATGAGATGGTGGAAGTGTTTGGCGAATGCGTCGAAGAGAGCAATGACCACTTGGTTCCTTCGGTTCACCTGCGCGTGTGATCTGATGTAGCTCATCACCACATCAGTGCTCATGTCTGATTCGCGCATCCTCTTCACCGACTTCTCCAGGTGGTATATTTGGAAGTTCTCCTCTACTGAGAGGTATCGCACAAACAGGGCTGTGAAGGTGGCCACTGCATTTCCACGCAGGCCCTCTTTGAATTTGGTCGCTACCTGTACAATAGGCTGAGTGTTTTGAACAAACAAGTCACGGTCCGTTTTGCTCTTGATATTCGTCGCCATGAACTCGTCTATCAGTGTCACTATTTTGTTCGTGGGGAACTGACATAAAGCAGCGTTCAAGTTTGACACGTACTTCTGCAACTCACGCCTAATGGCCACATCTAGACCTGGGTTCAGCCTTCCAGACATGGTATTAAGGACGTCCTGCATTTCCAGAAGTGGCAACGTCGGATCCCGCAGACTTTTAATCAATCTCGACAGCTGTTTGCTGTAGTGGTCTGTAAACAAGGGCTCTGGCATGCAATATCCGTCCATTATGTACTCCAGACTCCTCAAGCTTTGCTTGTAAACATCATTTGGTTTGGCTGACGTCATTGACTTTGTTTGTGGATGCACGATTCCTAAGCGGCCGTCAAAGAGCTTCGCCTGTTGGAACGAAGCGCTGTCATCCATTTCGATTTCGGCTATCAGCATTCCCGGAGAGAGAATAGTTCCGGGTCGCTTGACGAATTTGATTTTGCCGGCCATATTACACGTGAGGGTCATCAACATCTTCATGACTTCAATCGTAGCGTATGGAGTGCCGATGGATATCTTTTCGTTCTCTTCCACAAGGTATTCCACAAGTTTCCCTGCCGATGGGGCCCTCAGCAAAGTGGGGTCGTTTTCCTTGTCGAACGTTATAGTCTGGTTGTTCAACTGCAGCCGGTAAGAATCCACACTTTCCTTCATGTATGCCGTGTAGCTAGTGTTGTCCTCCAGCGAGAGCAGTAGTCCCCCATCATTCAGTCTGTGGAACCTGACCACATTGGATGAGTCATTCAGCTGAACAATGTATTCAGTCGGGTTCAACAACGTTACTTCAATTTTATACTTGACTGAGTCGTGAATCAACTCCACACATTTGTATGCGTCTAGGTTTGACGGCGGCAACACTTGGCCTCTTTCCAGACAACTTCTGTAATGCGAGTGGTTGTTCATGATCTCATCGTCCGCTATGAGAATTGCGGTGGCCACCAGTGCTGGCATCAAAGCTGGCTTGGCTGCAGTGACATTGTTGGCGATTCTGTTGTCCAGCCAGTTAGTGTCGAAGAGATTCTCGATGAAGTCGTCCGTCTGGAGCAACGTGATCAGGTAGTCGACAGTGGTGCTGAAATCCCCTCTGATCGACAGTTCCTTCAACGCCATCACCATGTTCGAAATGGCATCGTTCCTCGTGTCTCCGAATGCAAAACAGTGTCCAAACTGCGAGTCAGCAAACTGATGCACTCCCCCCGATCCACTGACCGAAAAGTACCCCCAAACATGCTTGCTGCTCTTGAAGTTCAACTCATTCAGAGATCCCGAGTTGGGTTTGAAGCCCTCGTCCGGATTCTCGCTCGTAATTCGACAGGCAATCACGTGACCTTTAGGCTGCGGGTAAACTGCAGGATTGTCAAAATCGATCGTGCTATCGGCATACGGCGATTCTCTATATAGGAGTCGAATGTCTTTGATGCGGTGGAGAGAAATTCCCATAGCAACCTGTAACTGCAGTGCGGGCAAATTGACATCTGCGACCATTTCTGTACAAGGATGTTCCACTTGCAACCTAGGGTTCAGTTCCAGGAAGTAGAAGCCCTCGTCCGTGTACAGGTACTCGACTGTCCCCGCATTGACATAGCCGACCGCTTTGGCCAATGCCACGGCAGCTCTTTCCATTTCCATGAATACCTCTGGCTCTGCCACCACTGCCGGCGCCTCTTCAATTATCTTCTGATGACGCCTCTGAATTGAGCAGTCACGGCTGAATAGAGATATTGCATTTCCTGAAATGCAAAGCCATATTCAATTCGCTTTCACACACGTATTACGTCACCAGATTTCAGACAGCTAAGTATAAACTAATAAGAACACCTAGCATCGAGAAAATTGGGGGATGGCTAACTGGGCATATTTAGTTTTTCTCGTGAGAAAAAACGTACAGTCAAACAATGAGGCTGAAAATTGGACCAATGTATCAGAAACAGGTCAAATTAATTTATGCGAGAGAATTGGACCGACCGTGTTTATCTGCGATTATTTGCACTTCGATGTGTCTGGTGTTGGTGGCCATCTTCATGATGAAGACGGGAGAGCCGGGGAACTCGGCCTGGACTGCTCTGAAGCGGTTGAGGAAGTCCTCCCTGGCCTCCACCTTGCGAATGCCCTTGCCCCCTCCTCCCCCCGAGGCCTTGATCATGACTGGGAAGCCGATCCTCTCGGCCGCCTGCAGTCCCTGCTCTGCTGTCTGCACTGCCCCTTCCTCAATCATCTCATCCGAGATCACCAGCTTCTGCCCCTTGTCTAAATTAGAAACGAAATAAATGATCACAAACATGCATGCACATCTTGAGCCAAAATGAAGGAACGTTTCAACTGTTTCAAAAATGTATCACACACCTAAATTCTGGTCCAAACATCAATTCTTGCCATATTTTTTTTTACCGCATAACTGGATAGCAATTAATTTCTAAAAAATCGGAACCGTTTTTTTTTTTGAAAAAAAAAACAGTAAATAAAAATGAAGGGTGGATCCCTCATGATGGAGGGACCGAAATTGGAAATTAATTCAGACATTCAAGGTTGAGTATGCAAAAATCTCAAAACAATCGCAAAAATCTCAAAACAAGCAAATAAATCCATACCTCAAAAATAAATACTAACCGATTACAAAATTAGCAGATTGCAGATAAATGAATTTTCAAACATTGCCAGATCAATGACATATCAGAAAAAGTTCCTACAATTTTCTGTACCTATAGATTTGTACGAAATTGTTTGAGATGCAAATTTTCCATATAAGAAAGTTGTATGATAAGCATTTTTGGTCAACCAGGGATACCAATTAAAGAACACTTGAAAAATAAAAGACCAAATTTGTTGTATCTACACAAACTGTACATGCTATATTTCATTTTCTGCTAATTTTCTGCTAAATACTTCATCATTCGGCCCCTGCATCATGAGAAGCTCCCACTTAGGAGCATGTGCTTAGGATAATTATCTTGAAAAGTTGCAATGATAGAGACACTCATGTTATGAGATACAGAAGAAGACAGAGAAAAACCGAAAAAGATCAGATTACTAACAGTATATAGCTGCACAATCACACCATTTATCTTTCAATACCCCCCATGCGGGTTATCTCTTCAAGTGATATGTGAATCTACTCCAGAAAGCCTCAAACGAATCTATTGAGCACTTTCGTTTTTACTAAAATCTAAGTTTAAGTTCGAATACCAAGTTCAAAATTATTTTGAATTTCATTGTTCCGATCACACGAAGGAAAAAATTTTCAGCCAGTTGCTTCTTTCATGCACAATCAAACGCCCCCCCCCCCCCCCCCCCCGCCCAAAAAAAAACGTCACACGAAGTTGCGTGATATATTATATAAAAGCCGTTTTAGCCGTGATTTCAGCTTCAAACTTAAATGACAGAAAAACTGTCACAGTGACGAGAAAAAGAGGTATGAACTTTAAGCTTGTTAGACTAATTCAGAGCGAAGAGCCATTCTTTGATAAGATCCACTATAGGTCCTTCTTAATTCAGCATTTTGCTGAACTGTTATTAGTAGCTGTTAGTAATAGAAACCATGGCGGGTGTTTTTTATTCTTCTTGATTTTGCTACCTCAAAGAAAGCTCGTAGGGTGTCGAGTTAGATATCATACTAAAACTCCATTGACCCTGATTTGGAACTTTAAAAAAAAGAGCTCTCTGCATAACGAGAAAAAGGGTCTGATTTTTTCGATTTTTCAATAGAGGCTTACCTCCAACAAATTAAAATCTACTTTAAATTGCTTTGGCTATTACTACCGCTCCCTCTACCATTGTTTCACCTAATTCAACGGCCCTTTTTATAAAAATATCGAAAAAATTGAACCAACTCTTGCTAGAAAAAACGTCCGGTAAATAAAGACCGCAAAAGTACGAAGAAAGCAATAAAAATTGACGACTGATTCAAATTCAATGGGAGATTATTTATTCCACAAGATGTTAACTTGAAATCCACTTTCGAAACTGGTAGGTCAATCACATTTCTCATCATTTTCACTTTTGACTTCAGATAGCGTTATTTGCTTTCCCTTTAACAAATGAACTGAATTTAACTCTACAAAAGTCAACATAGCTATCAGAAAATTGTAAGAAATAGTCAATAAACGCAAGTAAATAGAAAAAAAACACTGAAATGCTGTCTTTGAAAAAATCTCAACTTTCGAAAAAAAATAGATGTCCTTAAAGCTGTTTGAATTTTAAAAACAAATTTCAATTGACTATTTTTTTTGATATAATTAATTGAATAAACAGGATCAATAGGTAAATTTTTTTATTTCGCTGGGAAATCTGATAATTAAATTCCATTTTCGAAATTAGAAGGAATTACGTTCTTCGTGACTTCTACACTTTCGCTGTTCGATATTAAAGTTGGCTTTCCTTTTAACACAAAAATGAACTAAACTTAAAAAGAAATCAAAATCAAAACGCAAAAAAAAGAAAATTAGAGCCTGAACAAAAACCCTTCCTGAAAAAAACCAACAAAAATCGCGATCTATATAAGAGTGTAAACTACGTTAATTGACGCTTACGAAATCAAGCGCAAGAACAATCAAGTTAGAGCGTACAAATTCGAAGATTTTTTGCTTTAAAAAAACAGAAAAACGGCCAAAACTGTCTTCACTTCCATCATTGCCAAGACTAACATAAGAGATTTGACATAGAAGCAACGCAGAACATCGCACAACTTCCGACACACACAAAAAAAACGATAAGGAACGAAAGACACCAAACCGAATTCAGTTCAAAAAATTCTTAGAACTTTGTCTCGAATGAAGTTCATTTTGGGGCAAACATTTCAGGGAACAACATTTTCATCGTTATATAATCATTATTTTTGTTTTATCGCCAAAACACATTAAGCAGTAACTAAACCTACAATAAAAAAAACAGGCCAATTGAGCCAAAAAATGTCATAAAACATTTCGAGCTTAAAACTAAATTCTCCTCGATTTTTATAAACTCTCTCTCTCCCCCTCGAAGCACATAACAGTTCCTGCTTTAAAACATTATTTGCCCTGAAGTTAATAAACTCCCCCCACCCGAAGTACTGAGACAAAAGACACCAAACTGAAGAAAGTTTGAAAAAATCTTCAGGACTTTGTCTCGAATTTACCTCTAGGTTTATAACTCCTCGATTTCAACATTGTAACAAAGCAATATGGGGCAGTTCAGCCGATGTAACGTAAGCCGCAACCGTTACCGAATAAACCTCTTGGGAAAAAAAAATTCGGCAAAATCACAGTTAGTAACCTTAAAATCAACAAATGATTTTCGAATGGAAAGAAAATTTTAAAACTGCTTAAAACATGTCGGTGCGTTGACGGAATGATGGAGTTGACAAATTAGTTCTAAACAAAATGATTCAGTAGAAGTGGGATGTTGTTAAAAATTTATGTTCCGATTCGATAATGCTTGCCAATTTTAAGCGTAACTAATTAAATCATTTAATAAGCTAGGTTTCATACGGGAAAAAAGTCTACTGTTTTGCAATAACCTAGCCTAACGCACAGCTGAACATATTATCTTTGATTAGGTAAAGCTATTTCAACAAAGCCTGCGTTGGGACTTTTTCTTGATTTTTCCTATTTTCAGTCTAATTATGACGGAAAATTGACAAGGAATCGAGTAGGCACAATCTCGTTCAAAAATTGACCTTTCAAATGAGAGATCGAAACATAAGCCACTTCGCCGCCGCTCACCAAGAGACATCGAAACTCTTAACACCTGATTTTCTTAACTCTCGCTGGTCGGCGTTTTTCAGCCACCCTTTCGTACGTGCGTGCGCAGCGCGCGAGTTCAGTCCACTTTTAACGAGCCACTGCGAGTTATTAACATTATGCTTTTGACCCGGAAAACGACAATTTCGCAAAGTTTACACTACTTTCTTTGGTTTTTTTCTATTGTAACTGGCTCCCCAAATTAGGTACGGCAAATTAGAAGTACAAATACTATTCACTTCCCTGGGAGAAACCCCACTTGTTCTCGGGAAGATCGGGGAACTAAAACTAAAAGGAGCACAGAAAAACAATTTGAAAATTTTAAGGTTTTTAACTACCTTCATAGCCTACTGTTTACATTTTGGTCCCACACAACGGATGACCAGGTTCAAATCCCAATGAAAGACAGAAAAATTTGCTTAGCTCGCTTCTTTTGTTTTAGAGCAACGATTCAAAAACAATTTTTTTCCTCTGCTCACAAAAGTCGTTAGTCCAGTGTATCTGTCACACACTCTTAAAATGAGTGAAAATATTCAAAACTCCATCCGAGAGAAAAATTTTTTTCAAATTAAAACTTAACATATGTTCCGTTTAATTCGAATTGAAGTTTTCATATCTTTAGAGCTAAAAAACTTCAAGACATGCGAATTTCAGTGGTATCATTTTTTTCATCTGTTTCTATGAATAAGAACAATTTCAAGAATGCTTATTATAATGTTAAGAAAATCACATTTTCAACTTTTGCCCATTTCATCAATTCTATGACTTTATGACAGAACAGCCTCAATATCTGTTCTTTTCTTGAGTGCCATTGTGTGAGTATATACCAGCAATTGGTACTGAAACAGTAAAACATTTGACCAAAACACCAGAGGAGACAGATCGAGACCCAGATAAGGGAGTTCAAGTTTTATTCTTTATTCTAATTTGATCGATTTGAAACTACTGAATTCATTGAATTAAAATATGAGCACAAAAGATCGAGCTGTTTCGAGTCCCCGTAGGAGTTTGAGCGACACAGCTCTACAGGCGAGTTTTAGAATTAGTAGCACGGGTGACTGGAAAGCAGTGCGTAAGGTTTCTAATCCAGGTGAAAAAAAAATAAAAAAGGCTTGAAAAATTGTGAAGCGGTTAATCAAAGCGTGCAAACAGCAAAAAAGCCAAGAACCCTAGTTGCTCCTCGCGCCCTGACTAGTTTCGGAATCCAAAACAGCTAATGAATCCATCAGTCAAGTCGCGTGGAACAAAAATTAACTTTCGCTATAATTCCCTCCTACTTCTCTTCAGACCGTTTAAACAACACCAAATTCTTCAGTTGCGGGACCTACATAGCAACCTTTCAGTCAAACTCCTCCTCCTCCCCCCCCCCTCCCCTCAAATTTGAAAGCAAGATACAAATATCGTGAGAGTGCCTTATAATCAGCCGAACATAATTTTAAAAAATCAAGACTGGTCAGAAAATTTACCCAAAATCTCCTTGGATAACTTGATGTGACTTCCACTCCAGGGCAACGTGGGAACTCCGACTGTCTGGGCTACAATGGACGAGGCAATCTTGTCTCCTAGCGCGTGCATCGCCCCCGCATTCGGACCCAGAAAGGCAATGCCGTGTTGGCTCAACAGTTCCGGCAGCTTCGGGTTCTCCGACGCGTGGCCCCACCCGGCCCACACAGCCTGGACCAGCTGGCGTCTGGCGATGTCCAGAATGAGTTCTACATTGGCGTAGTTGTTGTTGTTGGAGCCTCCAGGCACCAGGATGTAGTTGTCGGCCAGTTTGATGTACTCGGCGTTCGCTTCCAAATCTTCGGGAGTGGCCATCACAACAAACCTACGCATCCCACAACACTACTAAAAGGGGAGGGGAGGGGAGGGGGCAGGTCATTAAGACAAGACAAAAGAGCGTTATCATATGTAAAATAAGCTGGTCGAATTTAAGCTGTATATAATACTGAGAAATACAATTGGGGAAATTGCGTGTAGTGTCATCTTAAAGTGGTCCCACCAAAAGCGGTTGTCGTCATAACAGCTGTCGCCTGCCGGACACCATGTATAGTAGGGATGAATAAGGATAGATACATTGAAACAAAATGTTTCTTAACAATATTTGCCCTTCGTCGCTTCGTTATAATTAGGCTAATATTTGCACAGGGGCGGATTTAGGGGGGGGGGGGGGGGGAAGGTGGGCGGACGCCCTCTCCCCCCTCAGGGATTCGACCCCCTGCCGACCCAAAGGGTCCCCCCTTCGGTACTTTTTAGAAATCCAGTTTTGGCCGACCAACCTTAAAATTTTTCTAAAGGCGCCTTGGGCGCCAATATATACTAATTCTGAGGGGGGGAGCGCGCGCCGAAAAAACGCATTTTTTCGGTCAAAATTTTCCAAAAAGTGCCTAAAACGCCACTTTTGGCCTATTTTTTTTTCAAAATTTAGCCTGCGGCGCACAAAAAGTGGCCAAAATAGGGACAAAACAGTGCTTTGGGAGAGCTCGAAAAATCAGTTGGTCGACCTAAAAAAAAAGGGTCGTTAAAATTTTCGAAAATTTTTTGAAAATCCGCCCCCCCCCCCCTCGAGAAAATTGTAGATCCGCCCCTGTATTTGCATCAAACTCTTTCGGTCCTTTTGCTTCTAGATGCATTCCCGAAAAGGCAACTCGCGACAAAAGATGGTTGGATCTGGGGAATTAAGTCCTACCGCGTTACGGCCCTACATTTTTTTCCGCAGGGATGCATCTAAGTCTTAGACTCCCAACTATCCCACTTGCACCCAATGCAATTTGACTCAACTCATTTGCCGGCTCTTATCCAGTCGCCCCCCCCCCCCCCCCCTCTCAAAATACCGAGTTTTATGTTACTTTTAGTGTTATTACGGCTAAATGCGTGATGTTACGCTATAACGTATGAAGAACAAATCTGGGCTCTTTTCCAGTTTCCCCCCCCCCCTTTCAAATTCAATACTGAAAAGTCTATTTAACATTGTCATAATGCAATGAAGTTTGGCGTGGTGAACAAATCGACAATTCTGAACAGATTTGTTCTTCATACTTTACAGCGTAAGTAACATCACGCATTTAGCCGTAATTAATAACACATAAAACAAACATAAAACTCGGTATTTTGAAAGGGGGGGACTGGAAAAGAGCCCAAATCTGTTCACAATTGTCGACTCGTTCACCACGCCAAATTTCATTGCATTATGATAACGTTAAATAAGCTTTTCAAAATTGAACTTGGAAGGGGGGAAACTGGTTTTGCCTTATACCGCAATTAAACAACTTAAAACTTTTTTCAAACATAATAAACCGCCAACCGCCTCATTCACGCAAACTTATTCGTTACTTAAATTGACAGCATCAAAGCACTAAATTGAACACTTTTGAGCACTTCTGAGTACATCAGCGACCCGGTTAGTTTCTTGGGAGTTGGGATGGGAGATGCAGATGGGACACCTCTATAACATTTGTACAAGGACTTACTTGATTGCTCTTTCATTTCGGAACATCTCGTAAGACCATCTTCTGACAGAGCGCATGCACTTCACAGCCGCAATTCCATTGTTGGCTATCAAAACTTTCTCTATCACAACCGATCCGCCCAATTTGGCCACAAACTCCTGCGGAGTGGCTGCAGTTAGATCCTAAGAAAAACAAAACTTCAGGCTCTGGTCGGATTCGAACCAACGATCTCCTGTTTACGAGACAGGCGCATTAACCACTATGCTACAGAGCCACATTTGCAAGCGAAACACGTTCATTATAGAACAGATATTAATGTATGTAGTACGATATATTCATGCTTGGCTTTCATATTAGCGTGGCATTTAGCATATTTCCATTTAGCAGACCAATCTTTCACCATCATAAAAAGTGGAAAATGAGTCTTCTAGCAGACCAACTTCGGCTCTTGGCTCTTTTTCCTTTTCCTCCCCACCGCACATAGGCATCAATTTTATGGTGTACCGAGCGGTTTCACAAGGTAAAGAATGAAGACCAAAAATATTTGTCATGGCCTAATCAGACTTCTGCATGCCAATTTTAGTAACAATCGGGCCATGTGAGCAGTAAGTTATCAAATAAAATGTCGCATGCTCTTTTCCGGAGGTGGAGCAATAAGCAGAATGGTCTAAGAGCACAATGGGTCAGGGGGTTAACATAGCAGTATTTAGGCAACCGCGTATTCAGGCGGGTCTAGGACAACAAGCTGACGGGACTTCAAGCCGAAGGGACTTCAGGCCGAAAATTAAACTTTACAAGCACCTCAAATCATTATTTTTTCATCTGTAAAACGTTGCTTGTCAAAATCATAGGCTATTTTACTCCATAATAAGCCGGTTTTTGAAATGCATAAATTATAGACAAGAAAAGAAAATTACCTTCAACCGTGTTTTATTTTTCAACTTTCCTAAACATCATTTGGAGGCTTAAATTTAATGAAAACGCTAATAATTACCGAATAAAGATCATGAAATTGAGAAATTCTTCGACAAAATTTTCAAATTAATCATATTTCATGACTTGGAGAGAAAATTTTACGATTCGGCTTGAAGTCCCGTCGGCTTGATGTCCGGCACCCATTCAGACACGTCAGTATTTAGACAAATAATCCAAAATAAATAATAATTAATTATTAATTTCTTCTTTGTCTCGATTCTGATTGGTTAAAACAGTATTTGTCTATTCGATTCCTAGACAATGCTAGTTTTTTGCGATTCGTTACTTATTCGGTGTTTACTTATTCGGTACTGCAATTCACAACATCGATACATTGGTGCGTATTCATAGGTTCCAAAATAAAAAATCAGTCCCATAGGTTCCAAAATAAAAAACCAGTCGCATAAGTTCCAAATCTTTTCAATTGGTCAAAAGACTAAATTAGCCGAGTCTCGGTTTAAGGTCGCCGGTGGGCGCGCTACGCGCGCGTCGCCGCTTCGCGGCGATAACCGGCTCTAAATTTCGTATAGAGTCCTACCCTTTGGTGGCAAGCTCGCAACACGTTGGCGCGGCTGCGGCGGTCACTATTCTGCAGCTTGAGTTTATGCTGATTGAACAGCAAACAATCGATCCATGAATTCGTTGGCTCAAATTTCAACCAATCAGAATTCAAGAAGATAAATTTTGGAACTTATGCGACTGATTTTTTATTTTGGAATCTATGAATATTGGAACCTATGGGAATTCACCCGATACATTACATTACCGTCTTGAAGCACTCTTTTTCCATTAGGGACCCTTTTCACTTTATCAAAAGTTTGTTCAGTGACTCATCTAAACTGATTCTGATTATACAACGAGTTTTGTTGACAAACCGAGCTAATTCTCTCAATAACGACAGCTGCACCCCAGACAAACGGCCTGTTTTTGTCTGTCAATCATTTATGGGGTCTTTTCTGTTACAGTGATCATTTAAATTGTCCGGACGAAAATAGGAAAACTGATGACGACAACACTTGCTTAGTTGTGCAAAACTTATATGGTGAAAATTGATTTACAAAACTTTAAAATATTTTCGGCAATTTCATGACGATAGTACACTTCTAAAACTTTGTTGGGCTATGTAAGAGGGCCACTTGGCTATAATTTTTTTAATAATTGATTCGGTAGTTTTTTTTCGTAATTTCGGACTAAAAAGGAAAAAATGATCCATTTTTGAGGTAAACTTTTTGGTCGCAAAACAAGTTTCACCATGTTTCTTCATCACTTCTCACCTAAAGTCAACTAAATTAAAGAAAAACACGTTTTAAGGTTCAAGATTTGTGCTTTTCGTCCGGACTCCATGTTTGATTGAGAGACGCAAAAATGCACTTCGTCTGGTGACCAGCATTCCTAATTAAGAAAATTAGCTCACAACTAGTCAACAAAAGTAGTTCTATCATCAAAATAATATTAGATGTGTCACTGAAGAAACTTCTTGGTACAAGTGAGACAGAGGGGTTCCCAGAAACTAAAAGAGTCCCTAATGTAAAAAGTGTGCGTCAAAAAACTTCTTATCATTGCATCTGTGATGTCAATTACAGTACCGAAGAAGTAGGCGCAAATGAGGCAGGTTAACTAAGTTTGAGAATAAACCTTGAAAACGATCGAGCAACGTCCATTAACTTACCTGAGAAGTCGCGTAAATCGTGATCTTGGTTTTTAATGAAACCGCTCTATCTCCTTTGTACACTTTTTGTTCTTAAATCTTCCGAAACATATGATGAGCATTTATTTAATTTAGTGGAGCGACCTATTTTTCTTAATAGCTTTTTTCAGGGACCCAAATATCAAATTTGCACCTCCAAATGCGTTCTGAATCACCGTTTATTTCCCATTTTGGCAGTTTTTTTTTAGTTGATGCAAGTCTCTGGATAATAGCCTTGGGCTCTTTTCCGTTTGCTCCCAACATTTGAAAGTCAGTTTTAAAAAACATTAAAAAATTGTGAAAATGTAATTCAATTCTAAGATCCTTCACCCCAGTGTTCAATTTCAAATAAAACTAGCGTGATACGCACCTCCGGTGCTTCGAATTTTAAACAACTCTTAAAAAGTCGCATATATTAGAAAAAGGATCTAAAAGCTTTGAAAGTACTCTGACAGCACCCAATTACAGGGTTGGTAATTTGTTTTTTATGTTAAAACTTTTCAATTCAAATTTTGAAACACCAATAAGTTCTTTGAAGCTTTTCATATCGAATCTCTTTGAAAGTTTTTTAAATGGCATTTACAACGTCACATCTCGGAAACTAAAGCAGTCACATCTGAGCGCAAGCTTTGCAACTCCTGCGAGTACTCTCACAGTACCCAACTACAGCGTTGGGAATTTCGATTTTGAGAAACTTCAAATTTAAGTTCTCTAATTTTTTTTTTGAAAAACCATAAAAATCATCATATCACAGAAAATACAAAGATTTGAGCAGTTGTATTTGGAGGCAACATTCGCAACCTTGAATTTTCTGAATTTTTTTTAAAAATCACAAAAAACGTCATATCTCGAAAACTAAAAGGATTTGAGCAGTCATACTTGGACGCAAAATTCACAATTCCTGAGAGTACTCTGACAGCCCCCGACTACAGGGTTGGAAATTTCAAAATTTTAAGAAAACTCAAATTTAAGTTTTCTGAAATTAAAAAAAAACAAAGCACTTAGACAGCCCACAAGTACAGGGCTGGGAAATTCAAAATTTGTAACCCTAATTCTAACCCTAAGTTGAAAAATTAAAAAAAAAAACGTCATATCTCGAAAACTACAAGGAAAACTACAAGCAGTGAAATTTTAAGGCAGAGTTACAATGAAAACTACAAGCAGTGAAATTTTAAGGCAAGAGCTGCAACCACTGAAATACCGTGTCAGCACCCAACTACAGAGTTGAGAATGTTTTTGATTATTTTTTAATTTAAGTTTTCTGAAAACTTTTGAAAAATCAAAAAAATCGTCGTATCTCGAAAAGTAAAACGACCTAAGTGTTCAAATTGAAGACCAAATTCACAGCCCGTGGGGGAAACCTGACAGCATCCCACTATTGGGTTGCTAATATCAAAATGAAGGAAATAATCTTTGAAGTCAAACTGAAAAATCGAAACAAAAAATTTTAAGCATTGCAATGTACTATATAGCTTAAACGTGAAAAAATCTTTCGTTAAGCATGTTGTTGTTGTTGTTAGCCCACGCGGGTCGGGTTGGGCTCTTCTGTCTCCAGGTCAAGGAACTTAGCAACCTCTACCGGCCGAAGCCACAGGTCTGCTGGGGTGAGTGGGGAGGGGGTTTGGGAGCAGTTGAAAAGGTGACATGTTGTGTGGGGGGCAAGGGAACAGGTTGGGCAAAGGTGGGAGATGGAGCTGTCGAGGCGGTATAGGTAAGTGTTAAGGAGCCGGCTGTAGCCAGACCGGAGTTGGGAGAGCTTACAGCGCGTGGGACGTGGGAGAGATTTTTCAGAGGGGTCAATCTTTGGGGGAGGGATACAAATAACTTTAGACGGAGGGGTTTCGGCTAGGAACTTGGTTACAAGGGAGGTATGGTTGTCTTTTAAAATTGGTTTGTAGTATTTAAAAATAAAAGTGGAGACTTCGTCTCTGTCGTCCAGAACTAGAGGGTGGTTTGCGTAGACTGAAAAGTCGGTTAAAATTTTCTGGGTGTCTTCTTTGAAGCAGCTTATAATTGAGGGGCGAAGTAGACGGGGAGGAGGGGGATGTGAATGTATAAAATTAATGGGATGGTGGGAACGATAGGTAGAGATAAAAAATTGAGATGACAGAAGGGTATGGTGGTCTTTGACCGTTAGGATTTCAGATTCACTGTGCAGGTGGGCAGTGGAACTCATTAGATTTGATCCAGTAACAACGCGAAGGGATTGGTTTTGGGCAACCTGCAGGCAATTTATGGAGGTGTTACTTGATGCGTGGGACCATGCGGGGGCTGCATAGTCAAGTATGGGGCGAATTAAAGCTTTAAAAGTTAGGAGGAGGGTTTCTTTGGAGTGACCCCAGGTTGATCCTGCTAATGCCTTCAGGATTCCGATCCTGCGTCTGGCCTTTTCAGCGGATTGTTTGCAGTGAGTGGCAAAACAAAGTGTTGGATCAAATGTCACCCCTAAGATTGTTGGATTTTTGTTTAGGGGTAGCGCCTCGTTATTTAAAAGAACACTAGGTGTTTTATTAAATTCTTTGTTATAAGAGGAGAAAAGTGTAACTGATCCTTTAGAGGACGCGAAACTTAGTTTGCGTGAGGTGAAAAAATCGTAGAGCCTTTTTAGGTAGCTATTGATGGAGTTTGAGGCGATATCAATATTGGAACTGCTTGCGAAGGGGTGGAAATCGTCTGCATACGAAACAAGGTTTACATTATCGGGAGGTGGCGGTGCATCATGGACATAAAAATTGAAGAGTGTGGGTGATAAAACAGAACCTTGGGGTACGCCACAGTGGATTATTCGATGGGGGGATGTGTGTTCACGGAATGAGGTGGCAGCCTGTCGACCATTAAGGTAATTACTTAGCCAGCGGACTAGACTTCTTGGGAGGGGAGTGTCATGAACGAGTTCCACAAGTGAGCGATGACACACCATGTCGAAAGCCTTAGATAAGTCAAGTGTGGCCAGTACCGTACGTTTAGGGGGGCGATTTTGGTTAAAACCGTCTGAAATGTAAAATTCGAGAGTGGAGAGAGCTGTGGTGGTGGAGTGAAAAGGGCGGAAGCCGTGTTGGTGTTTGGCGTTGGGGAGATGTTTGGTAAAGATGGGGTGAACGAGCCTCTCCAGAATTTTAACTGCTGGGCAGAGTAAGGATATAGGTCTGTAAGATGTTGATTGTTTAAGATCCTTATTGGGCTTTGGAAGCGGTGCAATTTTTGAATTTTTCCAAATTTGGGGGATAATGTTTTCGGACAAAGAGATATTAAAAAGGTATGTTAAGTATTGAGTAGCAAGTGGGCCGAGATGTTTAAGATGTATATTACAAAGGCCGTCGGGACCTAGCGCTCGCGATGGTTTGCTGTCTGCAATGGCTTGTTTAGTATTTTCAGGGGTAAAAATTGGGCTGTCTGACAGCGGTAGTTTGGCAATTTTTCTTCTCGTTATACGAAGGAGTTTGTCAGAGGCGTGGGGTCTGGCATTGGTGAAATGTTTGTTAAAAGAGCTGGTAATATCACGAGGTGAGTGTATGGGTTTAGAACCAAAAGTAATGGGGTGTCTTCCTGCCACGGGCTTAGATCCATTTAAGGAGCGTACCACTTTCCAGAACTTTCTGGCACCAGTGCGGTAGTCGCAAGTCCGGAGGAATTCTCGCCATTTATTTTCTTTGTCCTTTGCTGTCTGTTTCATGAGTCTACAGTTTAGTTGGGATATGACTTCTGGGGGGAGATTTTGTTGTCGGCTTAAATCTCTTTCGGCGGCAAGGGCAGTGGACTCGGGGGAAAGAGAGGGAGTGAAGTGGCGAATACGGCCAGCGGGGATGTGGTGGCGTGCTGCCCTGAGCACCAGGTCCCTCAAGAATTTCTCTCCGGCGGCAACTCCGGAAGGTGGAACCGCTGAAAAGAAACCCTCCTCAATTTCCTCTGTGAATTTGATCCAATCTGCTTTTAAAAAATTTATAAAAGTCCTTTTAGGTGAAAAATTTATAAAATCATCCAAGGGTAGTTCTAGAAGAATGGGTAGGTGATCTGATCCTAGAGATTTAATTGGGGTCCATGATGTGGAGAGTAAGAGCGATTGGGATGCGAGGGAAATATCTGGTGACGAGAGTTGGTTTTCTGAGTTAAAAGGGACTCTGGTTTGTGTGTCATCATTTAATGGTGCAAAGGTGGATTCGGTTATTTCATTGCTAAGTACAGAGCCGCGTTGATCTTCCTCGATGTTGGAGTTCCATAGTTGTGAATGTGCGTTGGCATCCCCGAGTACTAAGGCGTCCCCAGGTTCAAGTAGTTCGGCAAGGGACGCAGAGTAACCAGGGGGACAGCTCGAGCGAGGGGGGATGTAGAAATTATAAATACGAAGCTTGGATGAACTGGCTACCACTGATATGCCCATAGCCTCTAGTGTTCCATCGTTGTTAATATTTATTTCTTCGTATTGTATCGACTCATGTATGGCTATGAGAAGACCGCCCCCTTCTTTTTCTCGATCTTTTCTAATTAAAGTGTAGTGAGCCAAGTGAGGGGTTTCGAGATTTCTTTCTTAATTTAGTTTCTTGGAAGACAGCAATATGAATTTGATTTTGAGATAAGAAAGCGGCAATTTCGGGTGCTTTTCCGGAGATACCGTTGCAATTAAATTGAAGGATTTTTAAAAGGCCTTTGGCGGGGTGTGGTGAACTATTTACATTATTAACAGCAGTATGATTAAAATGGTTGTTTGAACTTGAGTTATTTACACTATTTACACGATTACGATTTGCGCGATTTTGGGAGGAGGAATTATTATTCGAGGAGGTGGGAAGGGTGGGAGGGGGATGGGGGTTAGGGAGGTGGGGTTGGGGGGCGGTTAGGGAAGTTGAACAAGTTTGGGAGTTGGGGGTGGTCAAGTTAGAGGACCTGGTGCCTGGGGGAGGTAAAATGTAGGTAGAGGTACAGGTAGGGCAATAGTAGTCAGGGTGGTGTTGGTTAAGGTGGGTAAGACCACTACATTTAAGGTGAATGTAACCACAGATGTGGCACCAGACACTGGGCTGGGTGCGTTTGATGCGGAAAGAGCAAGGGGAGCAAAAGTAAGGCCCTGGACCAGGGTTTGGATTAATGCCGGAGCGGAGTAGTAGTATAAGGATGAGCAGACGGAGCAGCCTGGCCGGCTTCAGACGCTCCGTAACCGAAAACCCGGAGACTTCTGAGCTTCTCCCGACCCAATGGGAGGGGGGGCTTGACGCCATTTGCATCTTGGTGGGGCCCAAGATGTCGGATCCACCACTGGAAGGCGGCGTCGTCTGGATCCTTTCGTTAAGCATGCACAATTACGCTGAAAACGCTTGTTACACGCTTTTTTACTTTCCTTTTTCATCATTGCGGGGCTATAACCGAAAAATAGTTGAAAATGCCCCGGTGGAAGGTAGCATTCTGACTTGTTAATTATATTGAGTCTGCTAAAAGATCGGTCTGTAGCACCCATACTCATCAGGGGGGATGGCTCTCATTTGCGGTGGTAGGGGGAGGGTCTCACCCTCTGGGATTCGATCGTCTCAACCTCTAAAGGGTCTCCCTATGGTAAATTTTTCCGAAATCCAAGAAGAAAGAAAATAGTTCATTTGCACTTATTTGAGGAGAGTGAGTGCTCGGAACAAAGATGTATTCAAGCATGCCTTTAGGGATGTTAAAAACAGTCAGCTCCAGAACTTCTTTGGAGAGAATTAAGAATACTAAAGAGTAGAGGAACTAAAAATAAGCCCAACTAATTCATAGAAATGACTGTGTAGCAAAGCATGCAAGAAAGACAACACAGAACAGAAGAAAAGGAAACAGATACAAACCACTGTGTCCAGTGAGGCGTTAGTTCCTGTCCTGGTCCAGGGATAAGTCTGGTTAAAAATCAAACTAATGTCAGGCGACGTATACTTACAGAATTTATTTAAGACTCATTTGAAAATTCTAACATGACAACTTGTTCAACATTTAGCCGCAAAACATATATGTTGCTACAATCGCTTTCGAAGTTTAAAAATCAGCACTTGAACTAGATCAATTAAAAACAACTGACCCTGGAAGAGAGATTGCTCCAGCTCTGTTTCAGTGGACTATTCTGCAGAGTGTTGGAGGTATTGCGTCTAACAGGCATGTGCGTGTTGAGATCGCCGCCCTCGGAAGTGGTTGCGGCTGCCAGTTCGGTCGGAGACTCCGAGTCCCCCAGCACAAACTGCACTTTGCCACTCTGCTCAGGGGTGCTTACATTGGGGTTGGACGTTCCACAAGTCGGGTCCGAACTCTCCGGCATCACTCGTAAGTCGTTCAAGTCACTCTGATGTCCTGAGGACCTAGGAGTGTCAGATTGCGCAGAGGCCGTAAGTTCCGATTCGTTCAGACTACAATATTGCGAGTCGGCGGATGCAGTGCCTCCTGATTCACTGGACAATTTCACTTCCCTTGATTCGTTAGCACCAGGCGTCCCAGTTTCCGATTGGTTCATTGAAGGTGTATTGTATGAGCTGGCTGGTGTCTTATGCACAGACCAGGCTGTTCTGTACGAAATGTTTGTAGTTTCAGTTTCAGATGAAGTGGTCGAACAATTTTTATCTTGATCTGATGATTTCGAATTTGAGTTTCTTTTGGCCTTTGACGGCATTGGAGATACTGATAAAAAGTATTTGCTAAGTTCGTTGATAAGCAAACACCAACGACCTTCAACTCGAAACAGAACTGAGATGGAAATAATGAACTCAACCTTCTTTAAGCTGCTCAGCTGAACAGTCGACCCGAAAAAGTCTTCTTCTGGCGTCTGATTTTAATCTTTTATACAAGTATGGGTTTATATACATGAATTGAATCAAATGTAGGCCACCTAATTGGTTCGTTGTTTCGTACTTTCAGATTTTCGATATGTGCAACCTCTATTGACTGCATGCTACTGAATTGCATCTAATGAGTATTAACATTGTGACCTAAAACTAGCAAAAGGGTTTAAACTTTTCATTCGTAATTAAGAAACCACTAACTCAGGAGCAAACAGGTTGTCTCCAAACTGATTTCTCACCTAAACTGCACAGCAACCAGCTATCCTTGTTCTAATTTCAATTCAATCCATCAAAATAAACAAGTCGAAAAAAAAACTAGGTGAAAAAAAAATAGGTGAACCAAAACTTTCGTATGTCTCGATGAAATACAACTAGGGGCCCAGCTAAAGCTTGAGATACATGTTTCATATTTTTTGATTTTGTAATACTGATGCGGTACAAAATGTGTAATTTCAAAAATTGGACTTTGCCCAAAACTAGTTGTTTCGTAACTAAAATAAGTAAGCGTGAAAACTTTTTAATTTTGAGATATTGGAATTTTCATAAGGACAAAAAATTTTTATTTCAAAAAATTAGGGAGTCGCCACTTCTGTAGGAAAAATTGTAGCAATCGGTTCTTCCGATTGAACTTTTCAACTCAGATTTGATAGGGTAGTTTTGAATAAAATTTAAAACCCTTATAAAAAACTGCCAAAAGTTCAAAATATGTTAAAAAACGTGTCCGCAAAAGACAGGTCAAGACCGCTAAACTAGAAAAGATTTCCAAAACCGGCTTTCGCGATTGAACTCTTAATCTGAGAACTCGCACGCTACTTTTCGAGTAAAAGTCAAAAAGTTTCCAAAAAACGCTCAACGTTGACTTGTTTCAAGACCATAACATTTTTCTAAAAGAAATGGGGAATTACAATTTATACAGGAGACTTTCGCCAAGCTGTTGTTTCATTTGAAATTATGGCATCAGATTTGGCACTATAGTTACCGAAAACAAGTCCGAAAACGGTCAACAAATAAAAACTTTGACATTTCAGAGACTCACAGCTTTATGGTTACAAAAAAATGGGCGTAACCTCTTAGACAGAAGAAATTCATGCAGTATGTATTTTCGATTGAAATCAACAATTAAGATATGTGAGAGTTATTCTCGGGAAAGTCAAAAAGTTTCAAGAAAAAACGGTCAAAAAACCAAAACTGACTTTTCCGAGGGCCATAAATTTTTGTTTGGAAAAAGTTGTGAGTACCCGCTAATGCAGGGGAGTTTTCCACTACCTTTTATCTTCATTGAACCCAAAAACTCAAATTTAGGAGCTAAATTTTCGAGAAAAATAAAAAAAATTCAAAAAAGGTAGAAGAAAACGGTAAATCTTTTTGTGTAAAAAAAAAATTGGGCGTTTTCAGTGTTTTTATCAAACAGAAATTCTAGACAAACATGCCAAGCTAGAGATATGAAGTTTAAGCACAGGCGAAGCTGAGCTTCAACACTTAAGATACAAAACAAAATGCCAATAATCAAATGATATTGTCTCAAAGGATAAGTGAAAAACTTGAATAAATTGTGGGCTAAAAAAATAATGAGAATCTTATTGCAATTATTCTAAAAATCAAATACCTAAGACATCAAAAGAATGTTCTCATAACAAGTAAATGGAAACAAAAAGAAAAATTTTTTGGTAAGCCCCCAAAAGTATTTAAATGCACTCGGGAAGTTAAGGAAAATTGGGGATAAGAAAAGGCTCTTTCCGTTATTTGCTATAAACTTAAAGAAAAAATTGACGAAAAAATTTAAAACAAATGAATGCAAAAATTGTATTTAATTGCCACAAAAAAACTCAAATCGCCACAAAAATAAGCTAAAAAACTATTTGCAAAAAACTTTTTTCAAAATTTCAGTCAGAAAGATTCACAATCCTAAAGGTTGCGCGACCTTCGCCACATTCCTTTGCTGACAAAACAGTTAAAAAAACCCAAAAACGTATGAAATTTTTCGAAAATTTTGTTCACATTTTATTTTAAAACAAGCGCTATCCAATCAATTTGAATCAATTTCAAATAACATTACTCAACTAGATAACAAAAAAATTTGATTCCGCGCACTTTCAGATTAAAAACCCTCCAGAAGCCATTCATTCGAAAAATTAAAAATTAATGCAATTTTGTTTTTAATTCATTAACAAAAAGTTTTGTCGTGTTTAAAAACCGGAAAACAAAAAGCATAATTGAAAATGAAGAAACTAATCAACAAAAGAAGAAAAAACACCCGGCAAGTAAGCGGTCAAAAATTGGGACGAAATCAATAATGCCGACAAAAAAAATCAATTTATTTTTGAAAACTGTTTCAACTGTAGACTATGGCTCCACTAGCTCTCGAACAGCCGTTAAAAAGGCAAATTGCAAGCATGTGCTGACGTGCAACTTGGCTATATTGGAAATTGAGATCTTAAATTTGAAGATCCTGTGAACAAAGTTATTTACGGGACAAACAAGTCTTGTAACTATTGCATTAGCCTTGCTTGCCGCAATGGTAATTAGCATCGGGAGAAAACCTACGAAGCGGATTCATATCGAGCCACCGTGGCCGAGTAGTTTAGTCACATGTCGAATCCCACTTCGGTCACGGTTGGAGGGGTTCCAGCAAATCCGACAAACTTTGAGAAGACACTAGCTGAACCGAAAAAAAAATTGATTTCATAAAAGAACATTTGAAAGTTTCAAGTCCCCCTGAAACTAAATGAACAACACTTGCAACTCCTGTGATACTTGCTCACAGCACAAGGAAAACCAACGATATGGCAACTAAGCCGCAAAAGAGCAGATATATTAAAGTCCGACAAATCAGTTTTAAACTCGAAAAAAAAATTCAATTCCATACATACATAAAAAACAAAGTCCGGCCGGGATTCGGTCTAGGACCTATGGGTGCAAAGACGACAGCGTTACCTCTAAGCCCAGTGCGAAGGAAACTGAAAGTTGTTAAGATTCAACAGTAAAGTTGAAAAATGGTTTAAAAAAATTTGTTTACGGGAAAAATGGCTCTTTTCCACTCTCCCCACGTTTCACATTTTCCATTATCTGTTGTCTTACGTGTTATAAAGGCTGAATGCGTGATGTTACGATGCAAGCTATGAGGAACAAATGTGTTCCTAATAGTTAGTTAATTCACCATGCAAAATTTTGTTTCATTATGACAACGTAAAATTAGTTTTTCAAAGCTGAAATTCAAATGTGGTAGGAAGTGCAAAAGAGCCGAAAAAAGTATAGTTCGCGATTACAAGACATTAAAAATTGAGCTCAGTTAATTTGGTAAATCAACGTGAAAACTTTTATCTCAAAAGTGCACGCGTTTTGGTTCAAGTCTACTGGTTGTCATATAGATCCCAGCAAGCGATTTTCCCTTCTTTGCAGGCTGAAAAAAGTCTCTTTCCCAAGAACCGCAGAGCCACTACAGTTGATGTGTGGCAGGTTAAAACAGCCAGAGGCTTCAAGGACTTGGTTGAGAAATATCGCAATCTGGAATCCCATCCTGCACTGACTAACAGGCGGCCGTCATCAGGTCTGAAGGCAACACAGCTCACGCCCGGATTGGTCAGTTTAACTGCCTTCAAAACTTCCAAGTCAACCCCGCTTTCGTTCGAATAGACGTTGAGAAGTGACAAAGTGTCTTCAGCGGACCCAACTGCAATTTGAGAGAAGTCAGGACGAAGAGCAATACAAGTGAGAGGACAGGCCACACTTTTGTCTTTCTGCAGACTTAGGCAACCAACTACTTCTGTCGATTCCAGAGAAAAGATGACAACACATCCGATTTCGAAAGCGGCCACAATTCTAAACATAGCTGACAGTTGAAAAAGAGTTGTGAACACAAGGAAACAAAAACTTGAAAACTTGCGAGCTTTAAAGAAAAATATTTGCCCTTAAAGCTCTCTCAATTTCATCAGCAGTTTATGTTTGACCATTTTTTGATTAACTTGCAAAAACTGGGTCCATAAGTAAATTATTAATTATATTCCATTTTCAAAACAAGAAGTCGATCACGTTATTCATGACCTTTCCATTTTTGCTGTTCGATGGTGGAGTTAATATTCCTCTAAACAAAGGAAATGAAGTGAACTTCAAAAGAAATCAAAATTCAAACCGCAAAAAAATCCAAAAATTTTGAGCGTGAATAAATTTTAAGACTTTCTTTTTCCTGAAACAAAACACACAAAAAAATCACCACGACCTTTAAAAGAGTACTCACTATATTCGTTACTTTTAAACATGATTAAATGAACACGTACAGCTCTGCCACCTTGGCAGCAAGATTAAGTTCTGTGAAAAAATGTGTAACTATCATTTAATGAGGATTCGTGAGACTTTTCTCAGATTAAAACTGCTCTTATTCTTTCTCATTCAATTCTGATACATTATCTGGTAAAATACTAATCAACTTCAGTCTAATAAAGAAGTGTGCTGCTCTGAATTAAATTAAATGCCGTTCTAATTTTCGCTTCTAGAATAATATTTGTAATGGTATTACGACCATAAACGACCCGTTTTTTCTACTTGCATTGATAAAAAGATCTGAACGGAAAAAAAGCACTTAGGCATATTCGACATTTATAGAAAAATAGGCCAATTGGAAAACAGTTTTTATAGAAAATGACCAGAAAAACGAAACAAAAAAATCTTCAAAAAAATATTCGCAGAAAGTTTTTGAATTTTGATTTCCAAATCGCTTAAAAAAACTAACTTTACTCGGGTAAAAATAGTTTTTCACACCTTTAATTAAGCATAAAATAAGATTTTGTAAGCCTGCTTAGCCTCATCTTTTTCAAATTGTCCGAAAGATAAGATGCGTGCTCAAAACTCGGTCAAGGTCAATTTTTTCGGAAAAATAAAAACCAAGTTTTCTCCAAAATAAAGAAAGTATCGGACATCGTTGCTTAAGGTCAAAATCATGACATATTGATATGGCTGATGCTACGAATGAATCCAATCTTTCTTCTTCTTTTGTCATTTACGCCCCGTGGGGGGCCTTGATTCCCAGTTTCCAGGACATGTACTCCAGTGTCTTGAAATGTTGTTTTTTGTCACCCAAGTACCGCATTCTTCGCATTTGATTCTGGCTCTCGTTCCGGCGAATCGTCCTGTGATAATGGCGTTGGTTACTTCTG